CAGATGCGGAGTCGAAAGAAACGAAACCTACAATGGCAACAGACAGTAGTGAAATGGCTAGTAATATGGAAGTGGATACTAATGAATCATGTGATAGCAGTAAACCATCTCCTGTACCAGCTCTATCTAATGGTAACATCACTGAGAACCAGGATGATGAATCTACCTCTTCAGCCTCAGAAACTGAAACACAAGTAAGTTTTCTAGTTTACTACATTCAAGCGAAAATATTGGGCCATTACATAATATAAACATTAGCAGTCCAATAGCAATTTAAAACTACATATGCCAGACACATGTTGTGTTCAGTACTATTTCAACTCTATGAAAATATTATAGACTGCTTGTATTTATGGTTAGAACTGTATCTGGACATGCACAAATATCTTTGGGTAACTGGCTTGTTACAATTCTTACATCAACTTGCATGTGTCTTTTGTTTTGTACAGATTAGATTCCATTACATATACATAATATGCAGTGAAAATCATTCATTCTTTCTGAACAATAATCCTGATGAGTTTTTGTATTTAGTAAACTTTGCATGACACCTGCTATTACTAATATTATATTCTCATAAGTATAATTTGAATATTCCTTTGAGACATAGAATGCAGATTGAATTAATTTCACATAAACATAGTTGTTCTATATTGATCCTGACAAGACTTATTTTGAAATGTAACTTAGAATAACAGTAAGAAACAAACAAGAAGTAGAAACTATATATTTCTCGGTTAAATAGTCAACATTTATCTTGGATAGAATGAGGTGATAATCAGAGGAAATACTGTCTATCTCCCAGCCATTGAAAATTTATCTTCATTCCAACTTGGCAAAATATCAATTGAATGTGAAGGTCAGGATGATTATTTCTGACATTTTGTTTACACCAGTCTTCACAAGATAAACTCTGAGTACTCAGTATTTTATGTATTGTCTGGGAGAGAAACTGAGCCGTAAATAAACTTGATTCCATTATCTCCAGATTAGAATTCCAACTGTTCCATAATTAAAATATGTAGGCAAAATTATTGAAAAAGCTTTCTGGACTAATATAAAATGAACAGTTAATTGAAACATGAATAGATATTATCACAAGATTAGAGGGAAAATATTCCCTTTGACTACTTGAAAATTCCACAAAACTCTCATAATATTATGTGTCTTTGAAGGGCCACCATGCAAAAAGTTAGTTGAAAATCATGTGAGATACTATGATTAAGTGAATAGACAGTTCTCTAAGGCTTAAGTTACTTTTTTGTATTAGTATTAACCTTTATTGACCTTTATCAAGCCTTCCAAAAATGTTTATCACACTAGGGAAGAGTCTGTTTGGTAAAAAATGAAAGTGTATAATATTGCATTTAATTTATTATATAAGATGTTCTTTCCGCTCACTGTAGAGTTTGAAAAAGTAGGAAATGTATCATAATGCAATTAATTTATTAAACGGTATTTCCACTCACATGAAAGTAATAGTCGGAATATGTAGAAAATGCATGCTATTGGAATTAATTTATTTTATATATAAAATTTTTGGTTTTTCCTTCAAACTAGGGAAGATGATTATTGAATTACACTGACAAATAGGTGCAAACATATCAAGGAATATACAGCCTTCATTAGTCTACATATATATATAATCATAATTACAACACGTCTAGTGTTTCTAGTGATAATATATTGAGTTATAACACCCCCTCACCTGTCATATCACACTCTCTGTTATATGATAAATAAACACAGCAGTCAGATACTCTGACATTTAATAATTATATTACTCGCTGCTATTCCCAGACTATCAGACAGGAATATAGATGAAATCCATCCATTATTTATGAATGGCTATTAAGCTTTTCTTCAATGTGATGGTTATTCCCTAAATATTCACAAGCAACATTCAATAAGAACTAAATGCCATCAATACTTTAGTTAAGGCTATGGCTGTCTGCAGGCCTCTGTCTGTTGTGATTGAATATCTCCAACATTTGTTATAAAGATGATAGCTTTTGCTTTGAAATATTTTCAAGGAAATTGTATCCATCCCGTTAAAGTATATAGCTTTATATCATGACTGAAGTATCGATGAATTCCTATATGAATAAAATGACTTCTTCAGCATTTCAGTAGAGCATATGTCATTTTCTTCTGTTTTAACTGTTCTTCACCTTAGTTTTTTAGTAGAGAATTTGTAATGTGTCTGTTGATCATAATAAAAGCGAAATAAAAGTACAAACTATTGAATGAATGTCACCATGTGTAAACCTTATGTTCTTAATCTACCTATCTGCTATAATAATCCTGTTTCATTTTCAGCCTGTTGATAGTTCATTGCCAAAAAAACGTGTAAAAACTAAAACTAAACAATCAAGTGGAGCTAAGAAAATAAAAACAGAAGATGGTTCCATTGCTGTATGTAATAATAATCAACCGAAGAAAAAGCTGAATAATAAACGCACAAATAAAACAGATGTAAAAGTTGAGTCCACCGTTGATGAAAAACAGAGCAGCACTGAAATTAAAATGGTATGTCATTTGATAAAATTGTTTTGACAATGTTGGTTCTGGTTTTTGTTCTTTAAACATTAATTCTGCTTTATTAGTCTTTGATATTGTTGGTTCTTGTGGTTCTGGCCCATATTTCTACATAATAGTATTTATCACTTGATTTCTAAAAAAGGAATGGAGAATATTTGATATTATGGTTAAATTCATCCATGCTTTAGCTTCTGATTTTATCGAAATACGTTAAAATTTACCAAAGAATTTTGCTTCTTAGTGCTGTCTATTGTTAGAACACATGCTTACTTTGTGCTTACAATTGTCTTTTGATGTTGTTTTCAAGAAATAGTTAATCATTAAGAATTAAATGTCCACCAACTTCTTTGAAACTATCAAAAGTTCAATTCATGTCTAAATGGCCAACGTAATGATGTACTTCAATCCCCATTAGACCCACCATCCTGCCTATACCAGCAGTTCAGTAATTATGACTAGATGTCTGGTGTAGAGATGTTTATACCATATGGGATTGGTTTTGACAGCTTGCTTTATCTTTTGTTTACATTTTGGCACTAGTATTCCCTGGGTATTTCTCTTATCTTTCTGTGCCAAATATTCTTGGAGAATTTATTGCTATTGTTTGAAGGTGAAGGTCACTGATATGTTAAGATTTTATGAAGACAAGATAACTGAGATTTCCATAAATCTTGACCTGGTTTTGATACTTGACAACATTGCAAATTTTATAACATTTATAGTCATGCTTAGAACATTTTGACTCCATATTTAGATGATTATGTAAATGTTTGTGACACAAACGTAAACTTTGTCTCCTCAATGTCTGAGTGAAATTTATTAGAAACAGCCTTGAAGTTGATATTATACAGTGATAGAATGCATTCAGTTGAAATATCTCTCACAACAGACAAAATATATGATTCAAAAGTGGTTTTGATAGAGTAAATCTGTTTTACTTCTCTTAACAGTCAACCTGTTATTTTACTCATCTTTGATTCAAATATTAAACTGTGAATTGATGAGTTTAGTCACTTTCTCTATGCATTAAGGTTTTGCAAATTTGGCCCTGATATTCAACGATTTTCTGAGTAAAGAATTTACATTAAAAACCCATTGTTGATATAAAAAGACGGTGTTTGTCAAATGAGACATAAATTCTTTGCATTAAGTTAATTTTGATGCTTGTTTTTTGAAGGAAACTGATGAAAAACCAGAAATAAAAGAAGAGATAAAAAGTGGTAAATCGTCTGCAGTGAGCAGTCCGGCGCCATCTCATCCTGAATCTGATGTCAGTGTAGAATCAACCAGTAATTCAGTCTCCAGTAATAATAATACCAGAGAGAAGAAAAAAACCAGACGCAGTAAAGAAATCGCTAAACAAAATGACAAACAAGAAGGTAAAGAATTTGAAATTTGCTATTTTTTGGTGCTTAAAACATGTGTATTAACGGGATTATAAAGAGATTTTCTGTGCATCGGGGACACTGATAGAATCTATTTGCATCCAGTCAGATGTCTGTTGTTCTTACAATTTTTCTAAAACTAGGCGTTTTATGATTCATCACAAAAACTGTTAATTATATCTAAGGCCTTTGTGAATGTTACGTTTTAATTTTTAAGTGAAATTGCATGAACCACAGACGTCTGATTGAAAATTGGAATGGTGCAGATTGATGCTATCAGTGTCCCCTATACACATAAATACCTCTTTACAATTCATTTAAGATTTGAGTGAATCTGTTCATCAAAATAGATAAATAAGGTTTTAGAATTTTCTACATGTGTATGATTGAATTTGAAGTGGCCTGAATGTTGATATTATAAGTACACTATGTTATGTATAAATGTTGGAAAGTGGCCAGTACTGTGTATATGATATATATTATTTGGGGAATAGAAATTACCATCATAATAACAAACACTGCCAAAAACTTGTTATATTTATATCTCATTCTTTAATATCTTTACCATTATTCTCTCTTTCTACTCCACAACTTGTTAACCTACATTCTTCTCTTATACACAACAAACTCTCACTTTTCTCCCAACACCTTGACTTATAAACTTTTGATCTGAATAAGACTTTGCCGATTCCACTAGTCCTGACAAATTTGCCTTATTGTTATTTTAGAAAATTAATTTGCTTAGTTGCCATAAGCGGGAAGCATTGTTTTTCGAATGACTGATATAATAAATTTTTACCATAATATTAATAGAAGGCTTTCCCTCAATTAGTGGAGAAAATGGGGCAAGACCCTTCTAGAGCACTTTCAATTGACAGGGCTTTTCGACATGTCATCTCTTTTGTATCCATTTCACAAGATCAAAATATTGGTTTAAATAATTGATTCAAAATAATTAATTTTTATACCTGTATATTTTCAGCCTCTTTCAACAAACCATTGGTAAAAGTTTCGTTGACTACATTGAAGAAGACTTGTGAACCTTTCGTACAAGATGGACCTTGTGTAGAGATAGCACCTAAACTGATGAAATGTAGAGAGTGTAAAATGTCTGCTACTCAATTGAGTAAAAAACAACCCAACATTTTCTGCAGATTCTATGCGTTTAGAAGGTAGGTTTTCAGTCATCGAAAAACTGTGCTATCTAATTTTATGTTTGCTTGCCTTCGTTTTGCATGGGAAAAAAAGAATTAAGAGCTCAATATTTATTTACCTAATTATTAGTTAACTAATTGTTTACCTGCACTGCTTTTGATATTTATTCTTTAATACATCATTCATTTCTTCTGGAATAGTAATTGATTTGATTTATTGGTTGTTTAAGAGATACCTATTTTAAATTAATTTCAAATATTTTTCAAACAAAAGGTTAAACTTTCATTGTGAATATTCAGATCGATCGAGATATTGACGATTTGATTCAGATCATTCAAGTTTCTCATGAATTTATAAATGAATTTGGAATCGTGAATGTAGAAAGGTCAATCTATCAAAATCAATATTCAGAATAAATCCATTCAGGAATTTTCTAGATAAATACATTGTTGACCTGCTCCAGACATAAGTCATATAATATTGTCAGTAAAATAAATGAGCTATATTGATTTATTTTAAATAGTATCTAAAAACTCAGTCTGGATATACTCTCATCAGTCAAAAAAATTCTCCTTTTATTACAATGTGCCGATAAAGTCTGTTTTATTTCTCATCCATCAAACTTAGTTTTTATACTCAAGTTTGATATCATCTGTGTTTTTCTCATACATAATGTACCTAATCAAATCAAACAAGTGTAAAGTCACATAGCATTATTAACAACAATAACAGGTGCTTGTTATGTAAAATTATGCTGTGTGTTACAGACAGAAACATTACATACTTATATAACTGGGTGTAATAACATCAAAAATTTCTTTATTGTGCAAAAAACTAAAAAAAAAAATTTCTGTATTGTGTAAAAAAAAAAATTGTAACTAACAATGAAGATTCAGCCCTTTATTGACTTAAAGTTTTTTAATCAATACAATGATTTTTTATAAAGACGTCCCTAGAAAGTTCCTTTTTATTATGATTTCTTTTCATCAAGTTTAATATAAATTGTAGAAACTTTACTTTGATTGGTCTTTTTAAAAAGCAGCTAATAACAAAAATCAATTTTGAAATTACTGAATCAACTGTACTTTAATGAAATGTTAATATTTACTTATTTTTCTATTTCAAGCTTTTATAACGTAATGTAAATTAACAATATTTGGCAAATGTCCTCAAATGGCAAAATTAGATTGATTGTGATAAGAACATTTCAATTAAATCACAACTCTAAGATATGCAAATATTACATGCCAGCTTTAAACTAACAATTTTTAAAATGGTCTGATTTTCATTTTTTTTACCATAACATTCAGTTGAACTTTTGTTGTAGAGATGAAAATATTCTATATAAGCTGTTATCAGATCAATATATTATTTTATCATGTATTGACTTGTATATACTCATATATTTTAGATTATTTGACTGTAGTAAACAACAATTATTGGCTTTGTGTACATATTACTTCTATTCCATATATAAAGGATATACAAAGCTTTTATCTCCATATTCATATAATGTATATAGTGAGGCTTTTAAGCACCTGATTGTCATGGCATTATTACTGTAGAGATAGTCATTATTGTCTGATATAGTATATAAAGCTTTTAACTAGTATTTGATAAAAGATATTATAGTAAGATAAAACCTAGGACTGTCATTAATGATATTTCTCTTATTTCAATATGTCAATCATAGAGTAGGATCTATAGATGTTATTTTAACAGTTAAATAATACATGATTTGATATTGGGTTTTATTCTGTGGTGAATTGGTCACCGATCATTCCGCTCCACTTGTTTCTATATATACCTATTGTTAAAGGTACTTACGTTCTAAGTACAAGGGGACCTGTTGTAAAAAAACACATGAATAGTTGGAACTGTATAATATTATAAATGTTGATGTATACTGAAATATTCTTAATTCTTTGATGATATTCTATTTTTTTATGCAAAAGATGTCAATTAATCAGCATTTCCTATTACTATTACAAAACCAGAAAATATTAATATTATGAAATTACCTTCATAAATATATATGTAGTAGATGTCTATAGATAGTCTATAATGACCACATATAAGAACATAAACAACATTCATGAAGCAACAGTTCAGATATAAAAGATGTCTGGAGGCATTGATCTAGATCACTGTACAAAATAACTGAACCTAAAATAAAAAACATAGATGTCTGTATATTTCTTATCTTCATGCAAGAGTTGTCTATAGATACTGAAACTTGAAGGGTTGATAAAACAAATTACAAAACCCTTGATATATGACCTGAATATGAAGTTTTATTCTGTTTATTTTCAGGTTGAAGTATAATTTAAAAGGTTCAGTGAGTATTTATGGATTTTCAGAGTTATCTGATGCTGACCCTGATGATATAGAACCATGGTTACCACGGACACCAGGTTAGTTATATTAGAATTCATTCTACTTTCTTTTACACAATTATCGAAACCTTTGTTTCAAATTGATGAGATCAATTGAGGAAAACCCACATATTGATGATTTAAGATTTCAAGAAGCGCAGTACACTTTAGTAGATATTTTGTTTTTATTGCCTTCACCTTTCTTAAATAGCTTCTTTTCTTGTTTTTTAGTACAAGCTCCAAAGCTAGATATTGAAACGTCCAAGTTTATCATCAGTAAAGTAGGAGATAGATTCTGTGAATTGGTAGAACAAGAAAAGGAATCCATGAGTTTAGTTGGTAAAAATGGTAAGTGTTTAAACACCTCTTTATCGCTTTACACCTCTTTATCACCTTATTGACTATTGTCTTTTGCTTCATTATCCCATTCTCGCCTACTAAGTGATTTTGTAGAAATAAGAAATCCAAAGACTAGCTGTTGTTCAGAGTCACTCTGCATGATTTTCAGACTGATTTGCATCCTTCAAAAATCCCTGTTTCAATTGATATGTTGAGCACTATTTTAACGGCAAACATGTTTGGATTTTGTTATATAAATATGAATATAGACGATTTTAAATCATCTTGTAATTCGAAGGACAAGATATCTTCAATATCTCTGATGTTAAGATCTGTAAAACTACTGAGCTGTAATAAAATTAAATATTGAAAGTTCTTTTCTTCACTAAACAGTAATGAGAAACCATAGGGAATGAAACTTAATGCATTCCATGAAAGAAATCATTAAACTGTATTTAACTTAATTGGCTGTAAAGAGGTTTTCTTATCTTTTTATGTGTATCGGAGACACTTATAGCATCAATTTACATCATTTTTAGTTGAACATCTGTAGGTCTTGCAATGCCCTTCTATGATTACAGGAATTATTACACATAAAAAACCTCTTTACCTGGATTCATTCCTTAATGCTTGTTATTTATATTGCAGGTAAAATAGCATGGAAGAGAGCTGTACAAGGTGTAAGAGAAATGTGTGATGTTTGTGATACGACATTATTTAACATGCACTGGGTGTGTAGTAAATGTGGTTTCGTTGTTTGTCTAGATTGTTATAAAGCGAAGTTAAAAAGTGCAGATGATATCAACAGTAAGTATAGACCTTTAACCATATTAGTATTAAGATTCTTCAACCAGAAAAACTGGTTTTACTAGTATTGCCTGTGCATTGATATCACTTGACTTGATGATACATAATTTTCTGCAAATGTCAGTGAAGTTTATGTGGTTACGCTTTAAGAACACCTGTCTGTTTTCTGTCCTTATGAGGATTATGTATCGGAAACATGTCAGCAGTATAAGATAAGCTTTAATGTATTTGTCATTTCTAAGCATCCAAAAATAGGTTTTTATCTTCAAATGATGACCTTTTCTGAGAATAGCTGCATTGATTATTTCAGATGATGATCGTTGGTTAACATGTAGTTCTAATAAAGGTGCCCATGAACCTGAGAAAATGATGTTAACTCAGATTATTCCCAGTGATGCATTGTGGGAGTTGGGCCGTTTGATACATGTGATCCGTGGTAAATGGTCGATTCCTGAAACCTGTCCATGTGGTTTTAAAACAGAAAATAATATCACTAACAAGAATGGCATTAATCAGGTAATTTCTATATGTGAACTTCTTTGAATTTTTTTTACTTTTGGTTTTGCTTATTCATGAAATATGATATCTTAAAATATTATTTATTCTTATCATTTTTCTGTTTTGATTATTTCAGCAAATATTAAATAATGTCCACAATAAGAAGATGGTAAACGGAGTTGGTGATGACAACCATAAAACTAATAAAGGAAAGAAAAATAATAAAAACCTACCCGCAGTGAATGGAAATAAATCATCAACATTAGAAAATTACAATCCAGATATCACTTCATCACCACTTAGTCTACTAGCTGACGTGGCATTCCTGGATTCGGAGGGCAGCCGTGATAAAACTGATTCCAAAAAATCCCTGGATAAAAGTGCTATGTCCCCAAGTGTTGATACAGACTCAGATAAAAAATTACAACCAAGTTGTTCAACTTTACGAGAATTGCTCACAAAAACAGCTGGAAAAGCTAAAGTGCCAAATGATAAGAAAAACACAAAACCTAAAACAAGTGGCAGCACATTAGACGATATTATCCAATCAGTGGTAGAGAAAAACTGTCGTGGCGAAGGTCAACCGTTTAAATTCATGCATTATAAACCACGTCTAGGAGGTTGGAAACGTGATTTACCTATTGCAGTTCATAATCTAACAGAAACTAGTGTATTATATCCTGATGTACCTCATTCATGGCTGTGTGATGGTAAATTATTACGTCTTCATGACCCACAACATAAAGGAAATCTCAAAATATTCCAAGATCAGTGGAGACGTGGTCAGGTAAGGAAATCTCATTCATACATGTCTTTCTAGATATATAAGTCAACTTTGATTACCTCCAAGGAAAAAGAGTAGGTTAATGATACTGTTCTGGTGAAATTGCCATCGTTATTAGTCATTAGTCCTGTTAGATGCAGAAAAGTAGAAAGTGAAACTCAATTTTACTTCTAAGGCTACCATTTGAATTGTTACTCTTATCTGTTTTAATGTTTAGTATCAATTTTTTAAATTCCAACGCCTTTTTAAGTAAACAGAACTTTGAAAGAACAATTAAATCAATTTTTATATCGCATCCCAGACAACGATACTAATTCTCGTATTTGACTATTTTCAGCCTGTGTTAGTATCTGGTACCAACAAAAATATTAATAGTAATTTATGGAAACCAGAATCATTCTGTAAAGAGTTTGGTCAGTTTGATAACGATCTTGTTAACTGTTTAACTGGAGATGTTATTGTTGGTCATCCTATGAGTGATTTCTGGGAAGGATTTGAAAGCCTTGAAAGTAAGTACTAACTTAAACATCTTCCCATTCCTCGAAAAATCTTTCATCATAGAATACAACTATATCACAATTCTTAACCAATGATTAAATTTCAGTATCTCTATCTAAGAAAGAAATTAGGGGACCTGTTCCTCATGCAAATTATGTCAAATTACCACACATTTGTAAGATCTTGTAAAGATGGCAGACCATTAATTGAAAATCTTTTTTCTAGTTATATGTGACAAAAATCGAATCCTTGCAAACTGAAGTATAATTTCACCTAATGGAACACTTGATGTCACACTGTAACTTTAACAAGTTCATATATACTGTCAAAATTGATCGGTATAATTATTGTGAAACAAGATCCTGAAACTTTGCCATATCATATTATTATTATTAACTGCTTTGTGTTTTCAGACCGTCCAACTGATGATGAAGATGAGCCAATGTTATTGAAACTCAAAGATTGGCCTCCAGGAGATGATTTCAGTGATATTTTACCCACACGTTTCCAAGATCTCATGAAAGCTTTACCATTGCCAGATTACACTTTACGTCAAGGAAAACTGAACCTTGCTTCCAGGCTGCCCGATTTCTTAGTGAGACCAGATTTAGGACCTAAAATGTATAATGCTTATGGCTCAGCTAAATTTCCCAGTCAAGCTACAACTAATCTTCACCTGGATATCTCTGATGCTGTTAATATTATGGTGTATGTTGGAGTACCAAATGATGGTGAAGGTGGACGCAAGGCTCATGAACAAGGTTGGTTTTCTTATTTAGTTAAGTCTTCATTTGCCAGAACTTGATAAACTATGACATGATTCTTTTTCTAATACTTATACTTACTGTTATTCCTTATTTTACTTACATGCCAACTGGAGCATATAAGAGCCTGAATAAGTATATGAATGTATTTAGATTAATTTAACTGATTAAATGATTCCAGACAACTGTCTATAACATGATACATATTGAAAATTTACTTTTGAAGGATATATCTCTAAACCAGACATTACATTACCAATTACTTGCAATCTTATAGTTTCCCTGTTTTATTTCAGCTGCTCTGAAAGCTATAGATGATGCTGATTGTGATAGTATAACTAAACGTAGAGTGAGAGAAGTACATGAGGTACCTGGAGCTTTATGGCAGATTTATGATGCAGGAGATGCTGATAAGATCAGAGATTTCTTGAATAAGGTAATTAAATGTTAATGTTTGCACGTATTTTAGGTTAGACACATAATTGGTATCAATAGGCTATAATTCAGTCAAATGTCTTAGGTGACTCATCTTATCCATAGACAATGTCTAAATCTGATTACTTTTTGGAACATTGTGTTTAGGCTAATAAGTTCATGATCTTCCCACTTGTAAGTCAAAAATAAAGCTAATGCAAGTGTCCTGTGTTATAATGTTAGTGTTTTATATCTAATTATAGGTAGCTAAAGAAACAGGTGAAATAATAGAACCAGATCATGATGCTATACACGACCAATCTTGGTACCTGGATGAGAAACTGAGAGAAAGATTAGCTAGAGAATATGGTGTACATGGTTATACTATTGTACAGTGTCTGGGTGATGCTATCTTTATTCCTGCTGGAGCACCTCATCAGGTAATTATAAATTCTGGTGGATTTATACCTCTATATATTATGGGTTGATGCATGATGACTTTTGCAGTTGCATTAGAGTTTTTATTACCTTGAGGAAGAATTGAACTCATAGCACCTAAACTTAATGTAACCTGTAATATTAAATTATGAGAAAAAGGCTGTCATAATAATTGAATAACATTATTGGTGGTTATAGTGGTCACATTATGTGCTACATACCTGATCAGTCATTGAAGCAGCTGTTTCAAAATGATGTCACATTGTACACTTTAATTCATATCATTTGGTGTTCATTATATTATATTGCATTCTGCGTTGGACTTTAAATCTGTCCATGATAAAAACGTAAAAAAAATATTGAAGAAAAATGAAGACATTATAATAATTAATTTTCTTGTATTTTTTCAGGTTCGAAATCTTCATAGTTGTGTTAAAGTAGCAGAAGACTTTGTGGCACCAGAACATCTGAACCATTGTTTCCATCTAACACAAGAATTCCGTCAATTATCAGATACCCATTCTAATCATGAGGATAAACTACAAGTTAAAAATATCATATACCATGCTGTCAAAGACGCAGTGGCTGTTTTACGAGATGCCAATCCTGAAGATGACTGAATTATGTAAAAATGAGAGACTCAGGATATAGAGAAACTTAATATGGAGAGAAGAGCTAAACACCAATTTCATTATGGTGGATATAACAATGCTGATATGAATAACTTGAAAGGACTGAAGCAGGCAATGTTTGTAACTGCTGAGAGAATGTAAAGTGATGTAGGAAAATAAGTATATATATGTTAGAAAATATGGTCTTCAGAGCCAGAATATTTGTTGAAAAATGCAGTAACATGTGCTAGAAATAGACTTCAGCGAAGAATAAACCTTGATTTAGACAAAAAGGAAAGAAACAGTGTGAAATGACAACACAGTGTTAGAAACTGAAATTGCAAGGATATTGCAATAATAGAAAGGTTGTCATTTGTGCTAGAAACTATATAATATAACTTATGTATTGAGAATACATAGTGGAGATATTGATTATACTTGGTGCATTTTAAACTTAAACCATAATATTGTGACACTTGAAATTTAAAAACACCTTAAATTGACTGAAGTGTACACTTGCTGTGTGTTTATTTCATTCATAGATTCATTCCGGAATACAAATACTGAACAATGATTGGTGGATAATATTTGCCAACCGATCAATAAACAGTATTTTATGTCTGTGTGTGGGATAAACATTCTGTTTAAGACTATAGTATCTTTAAAATATAGTATACCTTCAATCTGTCAGCAAGATTAATATAGGGAAATACTTGTCTTGCTGATTTGTTATTTAATTGCAGAGTCAACAAATCATGATATGCAAAGTGATCATTAACAGAATTGCTTTGTAAGCTGTTTTTTTGCTTCATGATCAGCTGATGATATGCTAAATTAGTAGTTGATTTGCAGCATGGCTGTAAATTTTCAAAATTGGCAGTGGATGATTTGCAACCAGGAAATACAAGTACGCTGTTGAATTGCAAAGTGAGCTTGTAGATTTGCAAAGTAGTCTGAATCAAATGATTTGCAAATTACAATCACCACTCTGTGCATAACTATTCAGGGAACAAGCACCAAATTAGGAATTTAAAATAAAGAAATTAATATATTATTTAGAGATATTGAGGGTGATATAGTGTTTGTGTAGAGTTCTAAATATTTTCAAATTATTACTAGAGTGACTATAGAGATATATATTAACCACTTGTAACAACTTTATGCTGCCCATAAAATATATAACTGTAGAATTTGACAAAGGCATATAGCTGCCCATAGAGTTTAGTAATGTTTTGTATTCAAGAATTCAAAATTCAGACATTTTTCCATTGCTTTTCATGTTCACGTTTATTAATATCAAGTTTTTCATTTTCAATTTTTCGTTTTTTCAATTTTTCATTCACATCTTTCATTAGTACTATTAAAACTGTTATAGTTTCATTGTTTTTTTTGGCAGTTGCTTATTACATTGCTTGTGAATATTGAAATTTCATGTGAAAGTTAATTATAATTATTATTATTATTATTTGCCAATTAAAGATGTTAATAATTTAATTACAAAGTTAAATATTGTTAGAGAAACTTACTCATAGCTGGACTCACTTTAATATATCATTCTCCATAATACATGTCATATAGTGAGCTAACAGTATGATAGCTACATGATATATCCACAGTCCAAGCCATGTACATAATAATAGATTATTTTTATATATCAAATTATGTCAAAGTTTCGATGTAAAATTGTTTTATGTGGTATGGCCTATCGAAGTGTTTTTGCATAAATAAGTTAGGTTTATCCTATCTCTTAATAAAGAAACACATTAATGACTATTAATATGTCTTTTTATTTTGTATTCTCATGGCTAGTAAAGTTCAAAAGGTCCTGCTTTTCTTCAAGTGTGCTGCAGCCTGTGTATTACCAAAAAATCCTTTCAAAGCAATAGCAAATTTGATAAGAAACATAAACTTGGTGGCAGTGCTAATAAGACTTAATTTCCCTCAGTGCTTTTAGCAAAATTTTGCCAATCTACTTTTACCCTATATTATGCACACAAAAAATCACTAAAGGTTATTAAGAACTAAATCATTAAAAATCAGGGAAATAGGAAGCAGAAAAGGAAATAAGTGTCATTACTACTTGATTCTGCAAACACCAACTGTCCTCTGGTTTTGATAAACAGAAAATCTAGGAATTTGATGGATCACAATATAGGATGCATAGTTTTACACACAATTAAGATTAGCCTAAATATGGTTCCACTTTATTCCATATTGGAAAGACAATGATAAAGGTTGCATTTGAAGCTGATTAAAGAAATAAGTCAATGACACTCTGATTTGGCTATGAAAATCATCTTTTAAGTAGAATGTGTCCAAACCACACCCCAATTCATCATTCTTCCTCATAGGACAGTGTCAAAACCATATTCGGGATATGAGGCAAAAGTAGCATTTTACCAAACTTTGAAGACGTGCAGTTGCTCTTGAACTGATTCAGAGTATGTGATGAAATTTGTGGTGCTTAGATTTTGAATATAAAGAGCACATGGTGACAAAACAGCTCCCCAAGATGTGATTTAAGTAGTCAAGATAAATCATTAGGTTTGTGGTCAAAGGGAGACAACTGTTCTACAAACGTTTCTTCAGAATGGTCAAAGGGAGAAAACTATATTTTGTGAACCGTCTGATTTATAAGAGTTCTCTCCCGTTAATCAAAATGTTGGTTCATTGTTATGTTCTGCGGCTTAATTTTATTTTTCATCACTGACAGAAAATCGTTTAAACATTTCAGAAATGATTTTTTTTTTTCAATTTAGCACAAAAACACAAAGGTTTTCGATAAATTAATAAAAAGATTTTTTCGTTTTAGGATAGGTGTGACCTACATTCCAATGATTGTACAAAGCCAAAATAGTAATGGCGGGTTTCAGATGGAAAAAAAGTGCAGAAATATTAGAAAAGGAAATCGAACGTGACAAGCAGTTGATCGACGCAGTAAATGATGGAGATTTGGCTCAGGTTAAATGCCTGCTCGAAGAGGGTGTCTCGCCAGATTCCCTGGAATACAATCGCAGTTTATTTTATGCTTCAAAAAACTATTTGACTCCACTTCAATTTGCTGTCAAAAACAACTTCCCGGAAATCGTTGAACAATTAATTAAATATGACGGTAAGTGTCGAAATTACAGCAATTTCTGTTGATTTTAAAGGGTATTGTGCCTGTGGCATGTTATATTCTTGATTTGGGTATATGTCATGACGACGTTAGATTAAATAAGATTAAAAGTATACCACTGCACATATTATTATTTGGCAATACCCGGTAGCTAATTCTCGAAAGTATAAACGTACTATGTAAGTAACTATTCCAGGGAAGAGTTTACATGACTTATTGAAATAGAAAGTAAAAGTAGAATATTTAATAGGTTACTGTTGTAATACATTCAAATGAAACAATACCTATCAGTAAGCTTAAAGTATGACTGCATATGATTAATACTGCAGCCAGTGTGACCTTATTTTAGATGCTTACTGTTTCTTTCTTATTATGTAGGTGACGTGAATGCAAAAGATAGATTTGATGTGACAGCTGTACATATTGCAGCAGAAAAGGGACATTTGCAATGTTTACAGTTATTATTAGAGAATGGGGCTGACACAAATATTCCCACTAAATATTCCAAATATGGTTCATATACAGGTTTGAGATTTATTAAATAGAATCAGCATATATCAGATAAAACTTGATGTCAACTACACTTTTCCTAGAAGTGCATTTTGCCAATTTGAAAATCACGTCTCAGTTTTTTCTTTCAGTTGATGACAATGCCAAGCAATGAAAAAATTATTATATTGAAATACGACTTTTTTACAGAAGGGAATTAAAAAATTTTATTTTGATATTTTTCAAATGAGAGAAAAAAAAATGATGTCTGATCTCAGTGATGTGTTTTATTATTTCCAATAAACATTTCTGATCTGTATTTTATATATTGAATTATAATCTATGTAGCCACCCCTCATCCTGGTGGTACAACAGCTCTCCACCTAGCAGCTAGCAATAATCAAGTAGAGTGTGTTAAGGAATTGGTATATTATGGATCTGATTATAATGCAGTAGATGAGTTTGGTAGAACTAGTTTATATACTGCAGCAAGGAAAGGTTTTGCTGACTGTGTCCATATACATCTCGATACAGCTATTAGGATGGATATTCTCTCTATTCCTGTCAAAGAAACAAGTAAGATACACTTTTATTTGTTTCTACAGATCTTCAGGCTTTCATTTTTTCATGAACTACCTTGGCCGGTGCTTCTATAGGAGAGTATCTGCTATAACACCTGATACTGCAATGTTATTAAGTAAAAATTTTGCTAAATTCTTCAAGATTTGTTAAGTTCTTATTGAATGTTTTGCTTTTTTACAAAAATTATATTAGATTTATAATTACTGGAATAGCACAGGATTAGATTGTTGCATCACAAACTGTGAACACATTTAAATCCAATTTGAATTGAGCTTGGAAACATGATGTAAATAAGTTCAACCCATGATACCTACAAAGACTTCACTGTAACTTATTTATTTATAAAACAAAACAACGTGGGAAACCCAGAAAAATAATGGTGGTCAAGAAGCTAAGAAGTTTATTAATAGACCAATATATAATACAATACAATACATGAATGTTTTTTTTATTGTAGATGAAACTCCACTACATGAATGTGTAAGACATGGTCATCTGTCTTGTGTATCATCTCTATTAAAACATGGGTCAGATGTTAATTTTAAAAATTCTGCGGGACTCAGTTCTTTACATGAAGCATTATTAGTGGATAAGAAATTCACTATAGAAATGGTAAAAGAATTAATTACTATGGGTTACAATGTAGATGTTAATTTACCAGATATTCATGGTAAGTCAGGAACTCTATCTTCTTGATTTTTCAACCCAGTTTAAGCTTGTCAGTGATGCAGGTTGGAGGGCCTGACAAGACTAATGCTGTTGTCATGGAAAAAGTATCCTCATTGTACATTGCATGGCCTTGCCCATCTTCATTAGACCATAAGGTGCAGAAAAGTTAGACATAAAACTTCATTCATTTCATTTCTTGATGAAGTGACCATCTTCAATGGTTTCTCTCACTCTCCAGGCTTTTTGAACAAAAAACCATTTATTACAATATGATAAATAGGGTTCAATTTAATATGTCCAATTTACAAGTGATTTAAAATTTATTATGCATGAGAATTGTCCCAGATAATTTGTCTGCCAAATCTATAAATATTAGGAAACTCTGAGCATATCTCTGTAACTTTGAGGAACTGTCAACTGTTTAGTCTAGATATATTATAATTTTATAATAACATTATATAGGTTGACATTTTTTTTTGATTGACTGACTTAATCATTCATTAATTTACATATTGGTTGTCATTTTGTATTTTTCAGGTTATACTCCATTACATTATGTATGTTTCACAGATCACTGTTCACATGAAAGACGACCTAAAGCTGCTGTGTTTCTCATAGCTTACGGTGCAAATTTCAATATAGTAAATAAAGCAGGGGAGACTTTATTAGCACAAGAAATAAACAATGTTAGCAATCATGGGGATTGTAGGATTTTGGACGCCATTTTAGAATGTACCAATAACAACCCAATTAATGACCCGACAATCTTGCCCAGCAAAAAACGAAAACTTTGTGTGAAATATGAACGCTTGTGTAAATTTCCCCGTACTCTTCAACATTATTGCCGATTTGTGATTCGTATTTCTTTGGGAGTGAAAAGACTTCGTGACGTTCCATGTTTACCATTACCAACCTCCCTTAAGGAATATTTATTACTGGATGTTCAAAACTTCAGTACTGACATTAAGAAAGAGTGTGTTTGTAGAGGATCTGTTTATGTTCAGTCTAATTCCCAAACTAAAATTGATGTTTTGGACTGAGACTGGACATAATGTGGGTGGTCAATTTGGTTGAAAAGTATGCATTTAAACTAGTATTTGTAGTAAATCTTCTAAAGTTCGGTGTGATAGTACTGAAGGTAGTAGACCTTATTCATACATTGGCCATATTAAATCCAGAAAGAGACTCATAACTCAAACAAACAAGGGTAATATGGTGTCACTGCAGTACAATTGCCACCTTGATGTTTTTTAAGTGTCAGTCCTAGTAACTCAAAACTAACCATATTTTACACCATTAAAATCAGAGTTGATTAAATGATACTTTCAGATGAAGTTTACTACCACAGATTTTTGATAAAGGGCAGTTTTAAGACCATTTTCTGGCTGTTGATCGAGTGCTTAGTGATGTCACGTAGGCTATATGTCGCCATGGATGACGTAATTTGCGTTACGAATCTCACTTTCAGTGTCTGTAAAGGGCGTGAATAAGGTCTATGTTAGAAAACGAACAAGATACAAAACATTTTCAAATAAGTTTTAACATTAAAATACTCAAGTTGAGTCTCAACCCTTCTCCTAAAGGCAGAAAGAAAATAAGTTTTAGATCACAAAATATTTATTGATTGGGGTATATCAAGAACCTCTTATCATTAAACTTAAAGGTAGTAGTATAAAACTGTATGAAGCTTCAGATTTACATGCTGCATGTTATAAAATGATTATATTAGAAACGTCTTTCAAATGATTCAATCATGATTATTATCTATATAAATTACTGTGGATTCAATGGATATTATTATTATTGTTGTTATTATTTTGATTATTGTGGACCAACAAATCAAGGAAACACCTTTATCTGAATTTATATTTTTTCCTTTTCAAGGTCTTAATCTATAATTATTGTTGATTATCAGTATTTACTAATTTACATGTTTCATTTTTCAAAGTTAAAACTACCCTGTTTCTACTTTCATTTTTTTGTGAGCATTATAGTATGAAATCATGATTAAGAGTTTCATATTTTACATAAGCAAATGGTTATTTTCATAAACATTATCTATCTTTGGATTGTAAATTTGTGTAAATTCATCTTGATAGATTAAGTCTGTATGAGGACATATTGTTCTAGATAAAGTTTCATCTGAAACCCTTACATAAATCAATGCAAAAATTGTCCTAATATCTAAAACAGACCTTGTATTTCTTCAAAGTTTTCACATGTAGGTCACTCACTGTAGAAAATTTAGTTGTTTGTTATAGAAACTGTTAATAGTGTATATATGTATATAGAATATGTTACTATCATCTACATTGTTAATCATGGGCACATCATTATAGACACTGGGTTATGTTATCTTTATTAAAATAAATCATAAAACAAAATTCAGTTTTCAGTTGATAAAAAGAATGCCATTTTCGGGGGTAGATTTGGGTCTTGAATATATGTAGATAGTCTTCAGAAGTACCAGAAATGTTCAAGAAATGCATCCTTCCTTCAAAAATACCCCAAACTAGGAACTTCAATTTCTATTTCTATATATGGCAAATATGGATTTGAGGGATTAAATTTCGACAATGAGCAGTGAACACAATTACTGATTAGCTGAGCTAAAATATTCATAACCCTTTACAACCCTTGTAGTAGAGCATAATTATATTTGTGCACGTTCAGGTCTTATTCAAGGTATAAACGAAAAGTCCATTAAGTTCTAAGGTAGTTTATGTAGTAATCAGCACACTATAAGTCTAACCTATATAGTTTAATTTACTATTTTGAACACCTAATATAAAATAGACTGGTCTCATTATGTTTAGAATCATACCTTGATGATCATAAATGTTTAATCCACTCTACCAGCTGTATTGATATTACCAGTTCCAAGCATAGAGATTTTCAATTTCAGATAGTCTTTTTCCTTTTCCTGAAAGGGTTGCTGTGTTGGCTTCAAACTGATGCAAAAAAAAAAAACATGACATGTTACTTTTGATAATTGTGGACTATGGCTATGATAGATAACACACATCAAAGTAAAACTGGTCAGTTCTCCTTTGTTATTTTTCTATAAAACATACCAATTATGATATTTACAATAACAAGATTTATACATCTATATTTACAGTAGAAATAGTTCTCTAGTTATAGACATATTTAGATGGATATCTAGATATTTCAACCAGTATCATTCAATTGGCCAAAGACTTAATTTTTTACAATTTAGATCCATGTAATACTAGCACACATTTGTTTAAGAATTGAGGGTATCATTAAATTAAATTGGTTTACGAAAATTTACAATCAGATGAAATAACAGAATATATTAATGTGTTAAATCTATTTCCCATATAACAAATCAAAATTTTCAGATTGATTAGTAATGACCTTTTGCAAAATATTATAATTCAACTAGACCAATAACACAAGCAATATAACAATATTTAAGCAAAGAGTTTGTGAGAAAAATAGCATCATCAACAATACACTGCGAAATTAAAAATTTTGCTTTATAGAGCGAACAGCAGATGTGCTATGCGAAATATGAGTTTGTTACCTTATATTAGAATCATTTATTTTCCTTTATTAGGCCAAACTGGGCCAGCAAAGTAGGGTATAAAACTCATTCATTCTTAATTATAAGTTTAAGCACTCAGCACATGAATGATAAATATCCTACCACAAAATAAACCAGATTATAAACTAATAAATTATACATAAAATAGAACAACGTTTAACAAAAAATAGAGAAACTCCAAGTACAAATGCTTACTGGTCATTATCATACAGATATCTTCAGCCAATATCAAAGTTGACACATGTGATACATTTCTAACAATATACAAGTACAAGTATAAATTGTTTTCAATTACTGAAATAGATATCAAGTTACTTGTTTGCGCACTACAATTATTTTAATATATTAAAATATTTATATAAATACTAATATACAATTTGATTAATGTTATTATGAAAATATCCAGATACCAGCCTTGCCCTCACTAATGATCGACAGTTTTTACTGTTATGAAGTCTGAACTATCTCAAGATGTGATTCACACCGTGGAATTATTTTTTTAGAACCGTTTAACTAAATTCAGCTTGGCTCCTGATTCTGTCAAAATCTTCAGTAAACATTTGTCAGATGTGTAAATTTGAAATTGAGAAGTATTACACTTACACTAGAGGAAAGATATTTTTGTGAAACAGGGCAAAGGTCTCCAGTGCCTTCAAGGAAAAGATCTCTGTGAAAATAAATTAACTTTCAATTGTAACAAGCTATCATGGTTTTACAAACAATGTAATACTATAGATAATTAAATATCAGGACATTACTAGATTGTCTATGATGCCCAACATTAATCACAATACAAACCAGGGGTATAGTCTTCCCTTGTACAAATGTACAAGTTTTATTTATGCAAGAATGTGGATCACATGAACTTTTTTGAACAATATAATTGAGGACAACACGTGGTGATGTGTCTACCTTTCTCATAGTATCATTGTACTATGCGGGGCAAAGGGGCATTGTAGAATATCTGGTAATGTCTTGATAATTTCATTAACGGTTCAGCTTTGTACAGTTGTTATCTGCCATAAAAAAAAAAAGTGACTTTAGACGTCTGTGTAACTAGGTAGGGCCAGATTTGTCAAGCTAGGTTTGGTTTTGTTACAAGGCATGGTTAAATATAAATATGATTGTCTATGAGCTGAATGAGACTTCATCCTTTGTCAGATTAACTCCTCAAAGCCTCTAGTCTGGCTTTCATATCCTCCATATCTCCATCATCTTCTTCTTGAGGCAGAGCTGAGGCACCTTCTACTACAGGTAAAGAATCATCTACAGGAACTGGAGCCTTTCCTAGTTCACCTAAAAAAAAAACATCCCAAATTACTGATGAAATCAAAACAAAGTGGTATAATATTCATCAACCGTTAGATCCAAGGTGGTAGTGGATTCTAATCTATATTTGGAAAAAACAAAACAAAAATCTTTTTACCTGCTGTGATATCAAATAGAACTTTATCTACTTCCTCTTCAGCTTCTTCTTCTAAATCATCTTGATCATCCAAACTTTCCATTGTATCTTCAAGCATTTCTTCTATTATGCCTGCCTGGATGTTAGAAAATATTCATTTATTCAAAATTCTATTACTTTTATTTTTATTACTGTACATGCTTTATCATATCAATAGGTAATAAAGCTTCTATTTAAAAGCCATATCTTAAAAGTAGACTGAACAACTGGCTAATTCTTAATGAAATACTCTACTACCTAAATACAAATAATCACCTTCATCATTTCTTTGGACATTTCTCTCATTGTGGCTGTGATTTCTGGCACTTTAACTAATGATTGCATACTCTTCATGACTTCAGAACTCTGTTGAAGGGCACCTGCTATTCTTAATGTGGCTAAACATAGAAAAACACGAATAGAATTATAACCAAAAACGTACGGTACTTCATACACTTCATTTTTGGTGGATGAACAAATTATCAAAATATATGAGAATCCTTTTAATAAATAGAAATTCATTGTATCAATTCCTTGAAATATTCTTCTACAAATAATTTGACAACTTCAACATTGTAATTTGGCTATATAATGATTCTCACTTAAATATATCAAAAAAACATTTCAATCTAATGCCACCTTGTAAGTGTTACTTCTAAATCTCATGTACAAGATAGTTTGAGGTATTTGCTTTGAACTAAATTTAAAGATTATCTTCATACCTAATTGATTTTTCATTCCCATTTGAACTGAGTTAAGCTGAGCTTTGGACGTATATAATCTATTTACAACTTTCCTGGATTTCACAATTTCTTTAGCTAATATTTTACATGATGATTTCTCTCCCTTCTTTGCTGAATCTTTTATCATTCGTTTTGTCTTCTCTTCCTCCCTCTGTATGGCTACAAGTAACAGTTTATGATGAACATTGTTTTAAACTCTCATTGTGTAAGCTTATACATAGAAATACTTGATAATGAATGACTTATGATCAGAGCTGTTGATTCAACTATATTTTCCAGACATGACCAGCAGGTAAGGTCAAATGTACGAGGATCTTATGTAAAAATAATGTTCAGCATTTGCACAGATTCTTGAAAAGATTTTATATAGACATCTGGACTTAATTTTTTTTTTGGAAATTAGACAGGGCCTTGAAAACACTTTTAAAATTGGGTCAGGGTATGATAAAAAAACATCAAATAATTTTTAGAGTAAAGCTCAAATTATTGAATTTCTGAGGTTGGTGTCACCAGAACATGGTTAACCCTCAGAAACACTTGATGACATTTCTTTTTGGTTTTCTCAGTTATTAGCCTATCATCGAGTATTTGATTTATTAACTGTCAAAATTTTAAATTAGATTCTGCACTGAGATATATTTTAGTGTAAATGATCATTGTAAAGATCAGTAAGCTACTAAGCTTATGGATAATGTCTTACCTTTAATCTGCCTTTCAATGACATAGCCTTCTTTTCTCAATTTATGAGTCCAGTCATTAACCTAGAAACAGTTATAACATGTACTGGAAGAAAAAACTAGGATAAACATTTTCAGTTTATACTGCATTTGCATGCTTATCATATTTAACTTTGCATCTCAAAAACAAGGGTGCTCATAAAATTTCTAAAGCAGTTGTTCAATCAATCTATTCTTCTTCCTCAGCCATTGTTGACTGAGTGTGGCAGGGTCAGGAAATTATAGAGAGATTGATGTTTGAAGACAGTGCATGCAATGTAATCAAAGCTTTACCCATTTCTAAGATTACATATTTCTTATCATGACGACTAAAACAAAGGGATACAAACAAGTGTCAGTGAAAGTGAAGCAAAGCTACTCTGCCTCTACTGATTTTCGATTCCAGTATTTTTTTTCCTAATTCAGAAGATGATTGATTGAAGATGATTGAACAATATTTACCATATCTTTTGGTGACCGTTCGTTGCTTTTACCAAAAAGCCCCATGTTAATTTGCACAAGTTACTAATGAATTAAGTCACGTTTAAATTAAAATAGATTTCGACATCACTGTCACAAAAATTGGGAAATTTATTTTGATAATGAAAAACACTTCCGGTCTAATTTCTCGGCGTATGCGCAGTTGTAGATCATTATCTAAATGGTTTCTTCTTCGATATTAGTTGTACTTGTTTGGTAGTTCATTACATATGATCCAATAAGGTTTCAAATCAACCATTGGAATTGCGATCCATTTGTCACGCGACTAGTGAGATGTTTTTTACTGTCATATTTATAACTCTATGGGTGGAACCAATCAGTAGGCTTATTCATTTGCTATTAATTTGCATTGGACATAATCTAATTATAACCAAGCCAAGGTGATAGTATTTTTTTGCAAAACTGTAAACTGACATTCTCAGTTTTTTTGTCTATCCAGAATTACCCCTACCAAATCCCTTATTTTCTCAGTGTAGGCTAATGGATTGATATCTAAGGGAAAAGCAGGGGAACATAATTACTGAACATTTTGAATTTCAGTGCTAATATGACAATTAGAAATTTATTTTCTTGTCATGTTGTGGTATGAAGGCATATCTCCTCTAAGTATTCGACCCTTAGCCTTTTTGTGTTAGTATGCTGCCCATAAAAGAGCGAACAATAAAATAAATCTAAATATTTTGTCTAAACTTGTGAAGTTTAATGTAATCTTAATATGGTCGGTGATTTACAAAACTTAGGGAGTGCATGCCTTTATGTTAACGACAATGTGAAGGGAATGTTTATAATATGTAAAACATGGAATCTACGCTGTGATATAATGTAATATGATAGCAGGGTGGTACCTGTCTACACACTGTACCATACCATTATTATTTATATATCACTGTTTAGAACTCTCTAGTCAGTCCTCACAGTAACAATGTACGTTATCACAGATTGTACTCAGGTGCTGTAGTCTTCATGACATAGATTTATACCTTCTCGAATTACTTGTCTTGTTAACAGACAAACACAGATAGTAGGACATTGACCTCTATTGTCATGACAGAATTGAAGTTTTGAATGGGGATACATCGGGCGTTTTCCAATACCTTTAATGGTTTGTGATGGAATATAATAATATAATCAGAATATATACAAAGATAGCTTGCCATGCAAGGTAACATCTGGTAACATACGCCCACTATCAGCTGTCAGAAATGACAACAAAATATTTAGTGACTTAATAATGAATTTTCAAATAATCTTAAAATCACCTTGAGTCAAGGCAGTTCATAAAATTATCATCAAATTCAAACATGAACAATGTCTCACTGCTGTACACATAAGGGCAATAACTCTGAAACGGTTCATCCAATTATTACCAATTCTAACTTAACAGCGATCTCATTGAAATATACATGCATATCTAGTTTCATCAAGATTGGATATAAACGGTATATAACTCCAAAACCATTCATCTGATTTTACCAATTTCGGACTCGACTGAGATCTCATCAACATATACATGCATACCTAGTTTCATCAAGATCAGACAAAGATAGCTTGCCAGGCAATATAAGAAATGATAACAAAATCTTTAGTGGCTTAATAATGAATTTTCAAATAATCTTAAAAGTATCTATAAGTCAAGGCAAAAACCTGAAACAGTTCATCAAGTCATCATCAAATTCCAACATGAACCATGTCTCATCGCTGGGCACAAGGGCAATAACTCTGAAACTGTTCATTTCCATGTGGGCGTATAAAAAGTCTTTGTAGGGTTGGCGAAGTCTATGTACAAGCTTTAGTTTTCTGTCAGGTCGGTGCATGTGTATTTTGTTCACAAATTATTTCAATGGATCTGCTAATGAGTGTTTGACAGAAAAGGCTTTCTGGTCCTCTTTCCACAAAAAATATTTACGATGAATCTCAATTATACACTGTCTCGTGGAAAGACTTTGATCGCGAGATTTTCCTTCAGATCATATTAATCATAAATCTAATGTGTTGATGCTTGAACATTTTTATACTAGGATCTCTTAACTACATGCACTTGTTAGACGTTTTCTTCAAGAGTGCCAATCCAGAATAACGGCCCTCCCTTGCAGAATAGCATTATGAAGTTAAACAGACGAAACAATATCAAATATTTCTGATTCTTCATTAAATTATAAAAATCACACCAAATATTTACATATAAACAAATCTTGTAATAAAATATAACAAATTAGGTTAAGAACAACTTTACACGTGCTTTTTACAAAATAAAGGTTACAATGTGATGGGAACCTATTAACTGAATATGTTTCATTTTTATACACCAACAGACTTTCTCAATCTGATCAAAATGCAAACATTTTCCTATGCTTTCTGTATTGATTACTTCACTCATACTAGTCCGGTCAAAATCTATTATCTTAAAGGGGTTGTAAATAAATTGTAAAGCCTTTTTGTTAACGTTAAAAAGCAATTGCAAGAACCACAGACATCTGAAATTAGAACGGTGTAGCAAATCGTTGCTATCAGTTTCCCTGTGACAAAAAGGCTTAGAAAACCTCTTACAACCCATTTGAAAGTGGAATAATAATGAATAACGTATGAAACATGAAACACCCCCAAAAAGTTTGCTAGTGGGACAAGACTGTTCGTATTTGTTAATGAAGAGAGTGTTTGATTGGTTGCTGTGGTAAAAGTATATTTCTTATTTATGTCGTCAGATCTAGAATGAGTGATGTAAACAATTATTAAAATTTTCATTTTCACACCAAATTAGAGGCGTTTTATGAGAGCATTGCAGTTTACACATATTCCAAAGTGCGATGAGATCTTTTGTGACAATCACATCTTATGGACAGAGAGATGCTAATGTTCACTAGTTTTGGAGGTCCGGTGCTCGATTCAGCTATTCAGGAATAGCCTAGGTCCAGATGATTAGTAGCCTACATTTCCAATCTGATAAGAATGCATATGGATTTTACTCTTCGCATGTTTCTGTAGGTTTCTATACTTGCCATCCATGATATGACGAATTTCTCCTTTATATTGCGCTCGGGGGAATTTCGACCCAATCGCATCAATATTGTCATATTTGATCCCAACCAATCCAAAACACTATACCAATTCAATGCTAGAAAACGAATATTCCATAATTTCTCACATATTATGTAGCTTAGTATGTACATCTTTAATTAAACAGAGTACTTGCTAGGTTGAATATTAAATAATGAATAAATGGTGCATACCAATTTCGTCAGATCATGTATGGCAAGCGGTGGAGTTTAAAAAACACATCCTGATTTTCTTTTAAATCAGAATGGTACATCCCCAACAAATGACAGTGTTGGCACATGATTTCAAATCAAGAGAGAGGAGATTCTAATAAAGTGCACTATATCAGGATTTGAGGTCAAAAATAAGTTTTAGATAAGACAGAGACTGGTATCCTTGAGAAAAGAAGTATATCACATGAGTTCGAAACTTTACGTTGTTTGCCTGACGTCATTCAAGGCCACCCGAATCAACTCCTAATGATTTGTCCTTGATGAATTGTTCATGTACACCCGCAGTCATTTCTAGAATTTCCTTCCTATAAAGATTTTCATCGGAGTCTATCACATAAGGTTCACCAGTTTGTTTCATAAGCCATGAGTGTAATTCAGTTTCTGAGCTTGAGGCACTCGTATTTAATGGTGGTTTGAGATCTCCCCCTTCCCCATCCCAAATGGTCTCTTCCGGTATCTCTAGGACCACACCCTCCACATCTTTTGAATTTGTGTGAGTATATCTTATTTCGTCCAATGGTTCACAGGCTTCAATAGATTGTAGCCAACTTTGACACCGTTTTGTATTTTCTTCTTTGTTCAAACGATCCTCAAGAAATTGTTTCCGTAAACCGAATTCTTTAGGTCTGGTGTTTGCCAGACTGGTCGCCATATTGGTTTCTGGTAAGTCTTCCTCGTGAATTAAATGTTCACTACGCGTGCGATGAATTCTAGCACGTACCCGTTTAGTAGGTTTAATTGGTCTAGGTATCGACGAAGAACGATTATTTTCAACTTTAACACGACTGCCTAATTTATTACCGAAAGTTTTATTTGAATCGGAAATATCTAATTGAGTCGGATTGTTTTCTTTTTTACCCTGCTGAACGAAATCTCTCCAACATGGCGGCTTTGGTGGTTTTAGTCCACTGAATGATGTCATCTGACCAAACTTCATTGAAGTCTTTTGCATTCTATCATAAGTAAGAAATTGAAATGAAATCTAGCTCCAGAAGTATGAATTTGATCATTTGAAATATGAAACAATTATCACAGTTCATGTACGTTCATTGGCTCTGCTATTCACAACATCACATATCCCAGCTTTTTCTTGGTCACACCCTGAAAGCAAAGAAAAAAATATTTGAAAATTGTATAATATTGGCATTAATCAAGTCTCCAAAGTACGAAGTGTAACAATATCCGAGTTACAGATACCGAAATTTATAATCGGAACTTAGTATACCAGAAATTTGAATGTCCACAACCAGCTATCTGAATACTACAGCGATCGATAGATAGATTGACAAGAGATGCAACATTTAAATAAATATGATCTTAATATGAGTTATTCTTATCTGAATATTCATTTTGCTATCTGAATATGAGTTATTACTATCTGAATATAAATAATTGCTATCTGGATTTAAGGTATTACCATCTGAATACGGGTAATTACTTTCTGAATATGAGTTATTACTTTCTCGATATGAGTTATTAATATCTGAATATGAGTTATTCTTATCTGAATATGAATTATTATTATCTGAATATGAGTTTTTTCTAACTCGATATGGGTTATATATTTCTGAATATGGTATGCGTTATTGCTATCTGAATATGAGTTATTGCTAACTGAATATGAGTCATTACTATCTGAATATGAGTTATTACAATCTCAGTATGGATTAATAACTTTTGATTATCTACTATCACTATCTGAATATGGGTCATTAATATCTGAATATGGGTATCACTTTTTGAATATTGGTTGTTACTATCTGAATATGAGTTGATACTATCTGAATATGGGTAATTATTATATGAATATTGGTATTACTATCTGAATATGAGTTATTACTTTCTGAATATGAGTTATTACTATCTGAATATGAGTTATTACTCTCTCAGTATGGATTAATAACTTTGAATATCTACTATCACTATCTGAATATGGACCATTAATATCTGAATATGAATTATCACTCTTCGAATATTGGTTGTTAATACTTGAAATGAATTACAATTATTACTATTATAACTATTATTTGAATATTGGTAATTTACTATCTGGATATGAGATTAACCACCCGGATATGAGTTATTTCGATTTGAATATCAGTTATTTCGATCTGAATATGAGTTATTACTATCTAGATATGAGATTAACCAACCGGATATGAGTTATTTCGATTTGAATATCGGTTATTTCGATCTGAATATGAGTTCTTACTATCTGAATATGAGTTATTACTATCTGAATATGAGTTATTTCTATCTGAATATGAGTTATTACTATCTGAATATGAGTTATTACTATCTGAATATGAGATATAATCACCTGGATATGAGTTATTACTATCTGAATATGCGTTATTACTATCTGAATATGAGTTATTACTATCTGAATATGAGTATGAGTTATTACTATCTGAATATGAGTTATTACTATCTGAATATGAGATATAATCATCTGGATATGAGTTATTGCGATCTGAATATGGGTTGTCACTTACGTTTTTGAATATGAGTTCTTACTTTCTGAATATGAGCAAAATATCTCAACCTTTCGATAAGACCAGTTACAAGAGATTGTGAATAGAAAATTTTACTATGTGAATACGACCACATAAGGTCTACCTAGAAGTATAGCTGTCATCAAAACCAAAACGGCGTTACTTACATACAATAATGACACCATTAATCCTACATGATTTAATGAAAAATTCCCACTATTTGTGTGAACCAGATGAATAATTTGGAATCTCAACCTCAACCCCAGCGTGCAATAATTATGCTTAATTGCCATTGATCCCACATCACACCTTCTAAATATATCCAATGAAAATGATCCACTTAAAAATGACATAATCCTTCAACATCTCTTAATCCGTGTGTTCAATTACTTGTATGAAATCCAAACAAATGAATAAGCTCTGTCTTTAAATCGCCACAATAAAAGAAAAGAAGTGTTAAGTTTAGAAATCAACTGTAGTCAGAACATCATGTGTTTGTAATAAAGAATTTTTCTGTGCCAAGCATTAACTCTGTTCTTCTATCTCTTGCCAATTTCATGTCTGACAAATTATGCTAAGGGCAGCCGACATATTGAGAACAATACCAAGATATTCACTCCTTCGTCTCTTTCCCTCGTTTAAAGATAAACATAAAATATTGCCAACATAAAATATCTGTCTTTATAATTAATAGCAGTGTAGTCTAGTTTTTTTTTACCTCATTTATTTTGTGCTAACACAATTTAAAACACACCTAAAACCACTGCAGCAGGCAGATCAAATGGCATGATATATAGACCTACTTAATATTGTAGATAATGAACAGGGTTGGTCTCTAATATTGGTTGTTCTGTCTGCATACAACAGTCATCACCATTGTATATGGCGAAGTGCGATTAGAGTACAGCTGATCGTCATTTTTATACTTTATTCCTAAAAGTGGGTTATTATTTATTGCTCATAGTCGTCAAAGTTTTCATTATCGTAAACACAGAACACATAATGTTTTGAGATCTGATTATACGAGCATACATTCAAGTTAATTTATTGAGCAGCATTTATTATTCAGAAACATTGTAGCCTATTATACCATACATTATCCAGATATTATATTAGTAAATATTAAGGATACATTAAACTTGCCTATAACAAATTAGATAATATTATTCTTATACATACATTACACTAGCCTATATCCAGATACATTAAACTAGATACACTATACTTGCCATTATCCAGATACATAACACTAGCCTATATCCAGATACATTACACTAGACTATATCAAGATACATAATACTAGCCAAATACAGATACATTATATAACCTAAATCCAGATATATTATACCAGCCTTTATTCAGATATATTAAACTAGCCTATATTCAGATATATTAAACTAGCCTATATTCAGATATATTGTACTATCTTTTGTTCAGATATATTATACTAGCCTTTATCCAGATATATTATTTTAGCCTATATTCAGATACATTACACTAGCCTATAGCCAGATATATTATACTAGCGTTATTCAGATACATTTTACTAGCCTAATGTATATTCAGATACATTATACTAGCCCAAAGCCAGATATATTACACTAGCCTATAATCAGATAATTTGTATCTTATATGTAGATACATTGTACTCATCTATATCCGGATACATTGTATCCTATATTCAGATACATTGTATTAGTTTATATTGCGATACATTGTATTAGTTTATATTGCGATACATTGTATTAGTTTATATACAAGTATATTGTATTAGTTTATACTCAGACATCATATTAGTTTATATTTCGATATATTGTTTTCTTTTATATTCAGATATATTGTATTAGTTTATATACATATATATTGTATTCGTTTATATTCAGATATATTGTATAAGTAAATATACAGATATATTGTATTAGTTTGTATTCAGATATATTATATTAGTTTATATTCAGATATATTGTATTAGTTTATATACAGATATACTGTATTAGTTTGTATTCAGATATATTGTAGTAGTTTATATTCAGATATATTACTAATCTATATCCGGATACATTGTATCCTATATTCAGACATATCATATTAGTTTATCTACAGATATATTGTGTTAGTTTATATTCAGACATATCATATTAGTTTATCTACAGATATATTGTGTTAGTTTATATTCAGACATATCATATTAGTTTATATTCAGTTATATTGTATTAGTTTATATTCAGATATATTGTATTAGTTTATATTCATATATATTGTATTAGTTTAAATACAGATATATTGTATTCGTTTATATTCAGATATATTGTATAAGTTTATATACAGATATATTGTATTAGTTTGTATTCAGGTATATTATATTAGTTTATATTCAGATATATTGTACGAGTTTATATACAGATATATTGTATTAGTTTGTATTCAAATATATTGTAGTAGTTTATATCCAGATATATTAGTTTATATTCAGATATACTTTATTAGTTTATATACAGATATATTGTATTAGTTTGTATTCAGATATATTATATTAGTTTATATTCAGATATAATGTATTAGTTTATATACAGATATATTGTACTCGTTTATATCCAGATATATTAGTTTATATTCAGATATACTATATTAGTTTATATACAGTATTGTATTAGTTTGTATTTAGATATATTATATTGGTTTATATTCAGATATATTGTATTAGTTTATATACAGATATATTGTACTCGTTTATATTCAGATATATTGTATTAGTTTATATTCAGATATACTATATTAGTTTATATACAGATATATATTGTATTAGTTTGTATTCAGATATACTTTATTAGTTTATATTCAGATATATTGTATTAGTTTATATCCAGATATTATTAGTTTATATTCAGAATATTATATTAGTTTATATGCAGATATATATTGTATTAGTTTGTATTCAGATATACTATATTAGTTTATATTCAGATATATTGTATTAGTTTATATCCAGATATTATTAGTTTATATTCAGATAAGTTTGTATATAGATTATTGAATTATATATTATGTTATATTGTATTAGTTCATATTCAGATATATTGTACTATATTATATTCAAATAAATTGTGCAAGCATTTATTTTGAAAAGTTGTTTTAGTTTGTTTCATGCATACATTTCCCTTACCCTATTCCGATAAGATTCTAATTTTGTAAATCCACTGATATAGGACCTGGTAATATGTTTTGGTGGCAAAAATTTATATCAGTATTCTTCATTTATAAACACTTCCCTTGTCGCTGTGCAAATCTAAAGATTTCTATAATTGTAATCAAGAATACTTGAAATCAAAGATCTTAAAAAAACAGTATAACTGCTTTCTATATTTCAACTCTCTTCAGCTACGTATTAAGATGTATTTAAGAAGTATATATATTTACAACTGAACGGTTATTCACCTATATCAAAATAAACTCTGAACTTCTAATAAACACACTCTAAATGCCATTTAACCGACATTATTCAATTAGTGATATTCATCCAATATAGAGTGCGTTTCGAATTTCACTTTTTGTCTGATATCTCTACCATATTCACCCTATTGCTTTAAGTGTATTAACAAATAACAAAGAAAAACCAAGGTGCCACCTACTTTCTCAATGATTTACGTATTCCATTAATTACAAAGTAATCGAGATATATGTATCCGTTTAACACAAATATACTGCATTACATACACACCTTGCAATAACAACCCATTTCTCAATAGCACGGTCAATACACACACAGAAAAAAATGGTAAAGTTTTGTCTTGGCACCTTCTCAAGAGTAATCATCTATTGTGAGTTATTTTTGACTCAGTTTCCATCTTGAATATCAAATTTACTAGCTTTCATCTGTTAGTCTGGACATTTATTAGGCCTACTTAAAGTTGATGTATATTATTGCATTCAAGGTGTTTGGCACCACCCTGTTCTCTTTTTAAGAATCTGCTGACTTAGTCTTCAATACGTTTGCACTGTGTGACGCCTCAAGGCTAAAACCACAACGATTCCATAATACTATTATCAATATAAATCCCCGAATTCCAAAGACAGCACGCACAGAGACAAAATATGAAGTTACACTTACTTATCTATGCCATATCAATCATACAAGGAAGATAAACGAAATCATAATTTGGTAGCAATATAGGTCAGTGGCAAACGGCCTATCTTTTTACTGTAGTGTTGCAGGAATATGTTGCTCGTCTCTCGACTGAATATATAAATAGATGGTATATAGGTAGAACTGTGTCTATATACTTTACACCAGTGTTGTATAAACACCGTCTATAATTAATGGGATATGAAACTTTTGCCATGGTTTTCAAACAGTAGATATTATTGCATGAATGAGTATCGACCTATTTTTTTTTTCAAAAAAAGGAAAATTATGACAGTTATCCATCCAATTGTTTTCTATAAAAGAAATGTGTTGAGTATGTTTCTCCGATATTTCCAATAGTTCTTGAGATAATTTTGTTTCCATCTGAACGTCCAATCTTCAAAATAACAATGATTGATAATAACCTATGTTTGCTGTCCTCACACGTTGCGGATATTAAATCCACCATCAGTACAGATTGTTTAAATTAGAGGTAATGCTCGTGTAGACTTCTCTGGAAAGAAAGCTAATTCAGCAATACAGGTATTGGCAAGCCTACTAGAAATTTACAACATAATCTTACATAGTTCTGATTTTCAGACAATAAATAAGTTATCTTGCCGATCAGGTATATATATCATTTTCAGATTGCAGCCTTCATAAATAAACATTATTAAAGAGTATGAACAAAGATTTCATGAAGGTACCTGTAAACGTTATCAGAATAAAGTAAGAGATAGTCTGCATTAAATAAATAAATGGTGATATATCCATTCAGATTATCTAGAGATATACTCATTCAGATTATCTCGAGGCACACCTATTCAGATTATCTAAAGAGATATCCATTCAGATTATCTAGAGATATATCAATTCAGATTATCTAAAGATATACCCGAACAGTCTATCTAGAGATATATCCATTCAGATTATCTAGAGTTATATTCATTCAGATTATCTAGAGATATATCAATTCAGATTATCTAGAGATATATCCATTCAGATTATCTAAAGATATACCCATTCAGATCATCTAGAGATGTATCAATTCAGATTATTTAGAGATATACCCGAACAGTTTATCTAGAGATATATCCATTCAGATATCTAGAGATATGCCGGAACAATTTATCTAGAGATATATTCATTCAGATTATCTAGAGATGATTCAATTCAGATTATCTAGAGATATATCCATTCAGATTATCTACAGATATACCCATTCAGATCATCTAGAGATGTATCAATTCAGATTATTTAGAGATATACCCGAACAGTTTATCTAGAGATATATCCATTCAGATATCTAGAGATATGCCGGAACAATTTATCTAGAGATATATCCATTCAGATTATCTAGAGATAAACCCGAACAGATTATCTAGAGATATATCCATTCAGATTATCTAAAGATATATGCTCATTCAGATTATCTAGATATATATCCATTCAGATTATCTAGAGATATATCCATTCAGATTATCTAAAGATATACTCATTCAGATTATCTAGAGTTGTATCAATTCCGATTATTTAGAGATATACCCGAACAGTTTATCTAGAGATATATCCATTCAGATATCTAGAGATATGCCGGAACCGAGTATCTAGAGATATATCCATTCAGATTATATTGAGATATATGCCCATTCAGATTATCTAGATATATATCCATTCAGATTATCTAGAGATATATCCATTCAGTTTATCCTAAGATATACTCATTCAGATTATCTAGAGATATATCAATTCAGATTATTTAGAGATATGGCCATTCAGATTATCTTATGATAGACCCATTCAGATTATCTAGAGATGTATCCGTTTAGTTTATCTAGAGATATATCCATTCAAATTATCTTATGATAGACCCATTCAGATTTTCTAGAGATATATATCTATTCAGATTTTCTAGAGAAATACTCATTCAGATTATACAGTGAATAGAGCCTTAGTTTATATGTAGACTTAGTAAATATGTTTCGTAACCGATATTGTTTTTTTTTTTGTGATTATTGAAAGATGTGAATTTTGTTACTTTTTTTAGCATTTGAAAGTATCTGTACCAAGCGATTATAGCTCTAAAAATATGTGATGCAGCTTACGCACAATATGCAATTAAATAGTGGAGCTACTTATAAAACGGAAACATTAAATCATACTCACACGAATTCAAGGTTTGAGATGCACTTCAAGTTCAGGAGAATTTGGTCTTGACGGAGGACACAATGAAGATTCTTCTGACCACGGTTTGTTCAGATTCTGTGTAAGATGTATATGTATAGAGTTAACAATGTCATCATCTCTTTCACTTTTCTCCATCAACCTCATCTCTTTCTCAAGAGAACACAACCGACATTCACAACTGAGAGTAGCTCCTGTATCCCTCTGTCCGTATTTCTCTATGATTGGGGTCCGAAGATAGAAACTGTCTCGTGGATGGAGAACTGATCGCTTAGAAGTTTGTACAAAGCGTTTATCATTAATAGTAAGATATAGTTGGTCATTAGCATAATTTGATTCCTCGGCAAATTTCATCGATTCAGTACTTTCTGCAAGTTTCGATCCACAGTTTTTGAAGTACAGGATTTTTGATCTATCTACAAACATTTTGTTTGTGGTGTCTTCAAAATAAACCTTCTTATGGAAGCTATTTTGTTTTTGTTGGGGTTTCGAAGAGGTTGGCTGTGTTGTTATTTCTGGAAGAATGGTTTGGACAGTAAGAACTGGAGGAACAACGTCTACATGCATCATCTTCCACCACTCTTGCTGTTTTTGATAGGGACGAATTGGCGTAGCTGTTTTGTGCCGATTTGACGTTAATACGACTTTATTTTGTCTTCTACCAGAATCTGAGACAGTGGTGTTGGATCTTGTTAGAAGTAGTTTAGAATTTGAGACGAATGTTGACCTTCGCAGAGGGAATGCTGATTTGGTTCTTGGATGACTTAGTGGTATTCGAATGACTGCTTGGAGTTGCATTGAGTTCCGGGGAGTTCTTGGGGTGTATTTTATTGGAGACGTTATTGGTCTCACCTGGAATAGACAGGGAAAAATTGATCACTTTTTATAGCGAAGACGCCAAAGATTGTAACGCCTTGTCTAAAAGTATCTCAAACTAATGCCTAGAATATCCACCAATATACGGAGAACAAAGACATAGAGCTACCATGTTCAGGATGAATGATGTTATCTCAGATTATACGATTATTAAAGTTTCAAAACGACCCAAATTAGTATTTATACAGAATGAAGTGACATAGATACTCCACTAAGTGTTAGAATTCCATTTATCTAGTAAAGCTTTTTGAAATGTTTTTGCACATCATTGTGATTCTGAAGTTTCAGACATTTTTAAATATCAAATACATTTTTCATGAAATTAAATGCCACTCACCTTCTCCATATCTGTAGTCATCAGTGAAATGAACGAGAAAAACGAGGTAAATAGGTAGAAATATTCTCGATTGACTGAGTTGAGGCCTTGTCAATGCTTCAATAGGAACATGTTTTTTATTCAGGGAGATATTGAGCTGTTTTCTATTTCTATTAAAATTGATTGATACGGTATATTAAGAGAAGAAAAGGTATATATTATTAAGAAGATTAGTGAAATAGACTGAATATAACACGATCTCTTTATAATATAGTTAAAAGAAGTTCTTCAATAAGTCTTTAAGAAACCATTTAAATACGTCTACATTCTAAATAGTCAATAGCGTTATATTAAATGTCATGAGGTCCATAAACTTGGTCACATAGTCCACTGTGACATTAGGCATTATACTAGTCTGAGGCTGCTTCCATTTGGGTTATGAAAATTTACTAGCTGGCAAAAGTCGTTGTTAATCTGTGTTAAATAACCGTCGTACGAGTAATGTTAAGGATAAATGTATGGATGACCGAAACAGAAGCTGTTGTGATGTTGTATCGTAGTTAATATTGTCGATAATTAGCGATATACTTAATAGATATATTCGTTTGCTAGTTACATGTAGCCTTCTTCATTAGGAGAACTCACCAGGAACAAAACTCAATGTCAAAACATCTCTGAAATTCTTGTGACTAGACGCTTTATAACCAATTTGTTACATCGACCTATCCGATCCAGTAAGCTGATATAAAAAGCCAATAATCTAAAGTATTCAACCACATCACATGTGCCACGCCCAAATGAAAAGGCAAAATGATACAAATATTTGCACTTTTTTTGTAGATCTATATGATTAGAATACGAAGGCTAATAGATCAAGAATTAATGATGGTCAACTTAAAAGCAGTAAACAGTTTATTGATTTGAGAAAGGCTTTTGATTGTTATATATAGCCCTACAATCAATCTACCGACACGTAAATTATAAATTAATTACTTTATTTTCTTTCTTTACTTCTTGTTTGCTTCTATCGATGCGTGATTATATTTCGATTACCTCCCCTTAATACAAGCTGAATAATGTGGGGTGATGAATTACTATTCGAAGGTCAATATACCTAAGAGGTTTTAGAAATAAGAACAAACCGTGACCGCAGGTTATGAGACTGGTGCACATAGCCAGGATTATACTGATTCAGAGATAAGACAAGGATTCCTCGTAATTTAACTAAAAGGGCATAAACTTGACGTTCCGAACAGAACTTTGAGCACCAATAAGACAAAATGACGAACCATAATAATCGCCATAATAGGCGACCCTAGCTCCTCCTTCGATAGTCAAATGTATCGTGCTATCATTATAAACAATTTGATTTAGATACAATATTGATAGTTTGATACAACGGTGATTTATTGTTTTATTGGCAATCAACTTTTTATTGGCGCTGAAAGTATGGTCAATGAAAAACGTGTTTATATATACTAGAACTAGAAGACTTCAGATTTACTTTGCTTGAACATGTGCGTCAGGTTAGCACTGCATCTTCACGATAATACGAACTTCGTGTTATACCTTGACTGTAATATCCACCATCATTCTATCATGGGATGTCGCGATTTGATTATATTGTACGCTAGCATGAATACAGTCAACCAGAGCTCTTGGCAAATAGGCTGTAAACATTTTGACTTATTGATTACAGACTTTCTGTTGAGGTCTCTGGCTGGCTGTATTCCTCGGCATACCATCCCATCATATATCTGCATTTACAAACTTCTGTGACAATAGAAATGTGACTATTACAGTCAATGCATAAGATGAAGTGTGTAATAGCTTGACATTGTGAAGATGGTAGCACTTCTGAACTAGTTTGATAGATATATACCACCATTCTTGTCCAATTGCAGTTTTACGATCACAAAAGTATTCAGCTTTCCACGATGATTCTGGATTCACAATGACCACGAAATAGTTAAGGTTAAGCTGGAAGCACGTCATGTTGTTGCACTGTGAATGAATGATTCATGCTCCCTTATCCTCCAATTGCAGTGTTGAGATCAAAGGATTCTTCTTTCCATGATTATTCTGGAATTATAATGATCTTGAAAAGTACTGTACAATGAAATGGCGATCATATCTGATTGTTTCGCTGTTCATATAAATCATCTATAATTGCTCTTTCCTTCCATCAACTGAACATCGTCCACTTCTTGTAGCCATTTTAAAATACGAATAGTTTTATCCTTATCACAGAAATTAATATGATTCGGTAACATTGCACGGCGACCTTCAATACATGTCTTTGGTCGATTGAAAGGGTTATTAGGTTTAGATTGTCGGTAACCCTTTGGTGGTTTATATGGGATAGTATCACAAGGTTTTGGAGGTCGTAGGTCACTGAATTTTAATTGTGGTGTACCATTAGGGAACTCTGACGAAATATCATATCCGGGTTTTTCTGGTTTGGCGACAATCTGCGTAGGTGATAGAAAACTATTGGATAGTCGTGCCTGTATTATATCACCTTGAATAGCTGCACAAGAGTCACTAGGTTTTGTTGAAGACGATTCTGGTTTTGATACTTCAGGTATCGGATTTGATATAATGATTGCTGCAGCAGTATTAGCTCTACGGAGTATTCTAGTCCCCGATGGAGGTGGTCGGTTCGATGCCACTGGTAATGGATTTGAAGCAATATTTGATGCAGTATTAGCAATTTGACTAATATTTTGCACATAATCAGCACCATGGCGACAAGGGGTGCGTTCGATGCTTATAAGCGACGAAGTTCGTTCAATCCCCATTGCAGTTGCTGGACGTGGTTCTAATTCTGTACTTTTCAATGCATTTGATGTGAATGTCGCGTTATTGCACTCTTCTGCTACCTTTGTAATATCATCAAGTTTTACTATTTCAGACAGAGAATCCTTCGGTAATTTACAGTTTTCTCCAAATTTCACTCGTTTTGTAACATCATCTTCCGCTTTCACAGAAAATGATCTAGAACGTCTCAGCTTCTTCTTTGTTAGTCTAGAATCTTCTGAACCTGAGTCGGGTTGAGAGTTTTTCAAGATCCCCTTACGGACGGATGAACGGTTTGACCTCACCGATTGTCTACTGCACATTCTTGGCGGTAACACAATAGGAAGTTCTCTTTTCTTTTTCTTCAACCCTGTACCGTTCAAATACGGTGATCTCCAGAAGGTGGACAATCCGAGTTTTATGCCCTTGGTGTTCACATACATTGGATATGCATTCTGTCTTTTGTCGTTTATTGACAAAGTCGACATATGATTGGCCACGTGATACTGAAGCATTTTATTAAAAAAATTGTATCTTCAACAGAGTTTTCACATTGTTATCAGTTCGACAAACTTTTCAAATCTTCGAGGATGCTGCATCTGAAAAATATATCAAATTCAAAATTAACCTATTTCTTGAAGAGTGGTTACAAACTTTGAGCGTTTTTTTATACTTTAGTCTTAAGTCATTTAGATATTGTTTTTTTCACAATGGAAGAGATTAACCAAATTATTAATTAAGGTTCTACCCATTTCAACTTTCCTTAACTCGTATTGAGATCTTTTAAACGTATTACAATATTATTCCATTTCACATTCCTGTTCTTGTTTGTCAGCTTTCCACTTTCTCTGTTTAACTATATCCTATAGACCTACCTGTTTTTACACTTACTATAATACTTTTTTTCTGAAGATTTCTCTTTTACCTTTTTCAATAACAATAAAGTCACAACGATTACTTTGAAGATTAACATTCTGTTTCTACAATTATGTCTTTTATGAAAATGTGCATTGGTTTCCTTTTTGCACTTTAAAAGGCCTTTTGACATTCCTATACGTAATTTTTTTTGCAAGTTTCTCTCCTACCTTCACACTTAAATCATAATCACAAAGAAAAGTTTGAAGATTATAATTTCACGACGTTTAGATCTTGACTGTTTAAAATTTATTGACTTCGCGACTTGGTGTGTACGTAATTTGTATACCAATCTATTAGATTTAAATTCTGATAAACACAGGGCTATATATTAACAATAGAAATTTTATTATCTCTTAAAGGCAAACTCAGTCTACTTAATCCTTTAACAAGATATTGTTTTAAAGGGACAACTTATCTGTATAAGTGTTAAAGTGAAATGCGAACTAAAGCTAGAACTATTGGTTTCAACATTGTTAAGTTAAAGGGTTAATTGGTTATATTCTGTATCATTCCATGAATCAAAGGTTAACATGAACAAAGTATCCTTACAACAAAGTAATAAGATCCAAACCGCCAACCGCGCAAACCGGAAGTAAAATATTGTACAAAAATGAGCATAACTAAAGTAGCACAGGGGTAGGTCAAAAGCAAGAACTCTTAATTTCCAAATGTTGTAGCATTGGTAAGTTAAAGGTTAGTTGGATATATTCTGTATTTTTCCATGAATCAAAGGTTAACACGAACCTAGTATCCTTACAACAACGTAATAAGATTCAAACCGTCAATCGCACCAACCGGAAGTAAAATATTGTACGAAAATGGGCATGTTGTGATGTTTTGGAGCGGTATATTTCAATTTTTTGTATGAACAATATTTATTTACATAATACGATAATGGAACAGGTTTTCAACTTCAGTACCCTTTCCTTATAAATTTCATTTTGGCATGGGTTCCATGAAAAAGTCTGTTCTCGTGATCACTCTTGAACCTGTCTGGATCTTAGTAGACAGTCAGCTTCTCTATAATGCTCATAGCATCGGGTACTTATATAGAGGCGATGTACGTGTCCAAATGTGCAACATGCACCTTCAGATTTCAATTCTGCGACCGACATGCAACGTTGTTTCCCGAAGTGTTAACAAGTTAATGGTTTTATTTTGGTCGTTTCCTACTTTAGACATACAGACATAGATATACATTTACCTTTAATTGTATAGTTACATATTGGTGTTGTATTATTAACGGAAAATCTACGAAATTTATGAAGGGCAAATGATATTATTTAACACTCACTAGCTATTTGCAATAAATGACTCTTCAAAATATGTTTATTATATTTTTCTAATTTATAATCTTATGTTCATTCAGCTATGAGACTAGATTACAAATAATAGAACGTTGAAAAACACAAACATGTCATGTTTTAACGGATCATTTACCCCGACAGAATAATTTAATTATATAGGACAAAGCTTCTAACTATAAACAGCGGTATTGACCCTTTTAAGGCAGTGTCCATTACTCATCTGCAACATCCAGTTCTGTGCATAAGTCTTAATATTTAGCAGTGGCTTCCCACCTTACAAAAATGGTTCCTACCTCCAAGTGTACCCCCCTTCATTTCTTTACGTTTTTTACGTAATCAGTTTTTTTTTTTTGAATCAGTTTTATCCAAAAAGATTAATACTCAGTTCTATCCAATAGAGTTACACTTAGTTCTATCCGTAATAGCTATTACCCTATATATAAACTGGGTTCTATCAATAATATTTATACCCAGTTCTATCCATAATATTTATACCCAGTTCTATCCATAATATTTATTCCCAGTTCTATCCATAATATTTATACCCAGTTCTATCCATAATATTTATACCCAGTTCTATCCATAATATTTATACCCAGTTCTATCCATAATATTTATACCCAGTTCTATCCATGAGAGTAATATCCAGTTCTATACATAATAGTAGTATCCAGTTCTATCCATAATAGTTAAATCCAGTTCTATCCATAATAGTTAAATCCAGTTCTATCCATAATAGTTAAATCCAGTTCCATACATAATAGTAATATCCAGTTCTATCCATAATAGTAATATCCAGTTATATCCATAATAGTAATATCCAGTTTTATCCATAATAGTAATATACAGTTCTATCTATAATAGTAATACCAGTTCTAACAATAATAGTAATATCCAGTTCTATCCATAATAGTAACATCCAGTTCTATACATAATAGTAATATCCAGTTCTATCTATAATAGTAATACCCAGTTCTATCCATAATAGTAATATCCAGTTCTATCTATAATAGTAATATCCAGTTCTATCTATAATAGTAATACCCAGTTCTATCCATAATAGTAATATCCAGTTCTATCTATAATAGTAATATCCAGTTCTATCCATAATAGTAATACCCAGTTCTATCCATAATAGTAATACCCAGTTCTATCCATAATAGTAATATCCAGTTCTATCTATAATAGTAATATCCAGTTCTATCTATAATAGTAATATCCAGTTCTATCTATAATAGTAATATCCAGTTCTATCCATAATAGTAATATCCAGTTCTATCCATAATAGTAATATCCAGTTCTATCTGTAATAGTAATATCCAGTTCTATACATAATAGTAATATCCAGTTCTCTATATAATAGTAGAGATAGCAATATCCAGTTCTATCCATAATAGTAATATCCAGTTCTCTATATAATAGTAATATCCAGTTCTATCTATAATAGTAATATCCAGTTCTCTATATAATAGTAATATCCAGTTCTATCTATAATAGTAATATTCAGTTCTATCTGTAATAGTAATATCCAGTTCTATCTGTAATAGTAATATCCAGTTCTATACATAATAGTAATATCCAGTTCTATCCATAATAGTAATATCCAGTTCTCTATATAATAGTAATATCCAGTTCTATCTATAATAGTAATATCCAGTTCTATCTGTAATAGTAATATCCAGTTCTATCTGTAATAGTAATATCCAGTTCTATACATAATAGTAATATCCAGTTCTATCCATAATAGTAATATCCAGTTCTCTATATAATAGTAATATCCAGTTCTATCTATAATAGTAATATCCAGTTCTATCCATAATAGTAATATCCAGGTCTATCCATAATATTAATATCCAGTACTATACCTAATATCTATGCTGGGTTCTATCCAAAATAGTAATGCTCAGTTCTACAAATAAAATTGATACTCAGTTCTATCCATAATAGCTATACCCAGTAATGCTCAATTCTATGCATAAAAGTCATTCGATAAAAAAGCAATTCTCAATTTTAGTAAAAAAATTTATTAGGTTACTTAACTACTAACAATACCATCAGTAGAGTGGCATCATGTGTATAATGCTAGTCTTGGTTCATAAGATTAATGCTCTGTCACATTCTTAAGGATGTTATAATGCATAGTCAAGTGCATAACCCTTAAAATAAAGTATTTATTCTTGATAATGATAGGTAAACGCATTGACTTCATATATGTACAAGAATGCCCCACCCTTTTCCGAAAACGTGATTCAATAGAGATAATATAGAGACATATTTACCTGTGTTTCTTATTGTAGGGCAAATAATAAAATAAAACATAGAAGCGAGCAATTAAAATAGATCTTGGTTGTACTTTATGTATTTTTGATGAGCTGACTAGTACAAAATTAAACCATGTCAGGCAAATTATATCGATCTTCTGTTGTTTCAATTTGAGTTTTCCTCAATAATAATTCTCTTCATAATTAGGTCATTAATGGAGTTTTACGCCCTATTTTATGCTCTTGATTGTTCTAATGAAGACTAGCAAAGACTCAAAGTGTGTAATGAGGGAATTTTAGCCAAGAATGCAGAAAAGTGAAGTAACAGAAAACTGTTGCCAAAATTGAAAAATACTGTGTTATGCCTATTCAGCAATAGAATGGTCAACCGATAGCGCACATACTAGTGGTTGACAATGAATTTCCGGATAGCTAGATCGTGCTGTCTTTAATATTTTCCAGGAACACCTGATATCTCTTATCGATTGGGTTTCTTTGGAGATTCTCCACAAATTACTTGTTACATTATGTTGATTTCATATCTTTTTAAAATGAATTCCCACTAGAAACTTAACACTCCAGTATATCAAGTTCTACTGCATACACTGGGCTAAGCTCCGATTTATCCTAAGAAAAATTAAACCTACCATTGTATATATGGTGTATCCATGACCATTCAGACAAACTGTGTTACTAGTTTATTAAATTCTACTGTATAAATATGGGCTACTAGGATATAGATAAGATTTTGACGTAGTACAAATTATGTTTTAATCAACGCGCCTAATAGATTCATAATTTATTATATTCTGCAGTCATTTAGTGTCAAATTACTCGACGTCACATAACTTAAAATATTTTAGTTTGTGAAATTGTGTGCCCTGTGTCACACCTTACATAGTCCGATAAATCGAACATATTGATTGTTATTGTTTATGCAGACTATACGTCTGTATGTGAACTTCACTCAGACCTATATCATATTTACTATTTACCAGAGAATCCAAAGGATACCATAATTACAAACAACGCCAGACTTGTATCTTATATAGTACAATCACAGACTTGTATCTTATATAGTACAATCACAGACTTGTATCTCATAAATTTCGATCACAGACTTGTATCTCCTAGACTACAATCACAGACTTGTATCTCCTAGACTACATTCACAGACTTGTATCTCCTAGACTACAATCACAGACTTGTATCTCTAAGACTACAATCATAGACTTGGATCTTATAGACTACAACCTCCGACTTTTTCTCATATACTACAATCACAGACTTGTAACTCATATACTACAATCACAGACTTGTACCTCATATACTACAATCATAGACTTTTATCTTATAGACTACAATCACAGACTTGTTATAATGTAATAATGTAATAATGTAATTTTTCTCTAAAATCAAAGTGGCATACCTAATAGAAGACTAGTCTCCCTTGACCAATGCATAGATCACTCAGACCCCATAGACAAATCTGAGAGCAATTTATTCAGATTATCCCAGGTCTACCAGCTACTAGCAGCCGTTGAAAATCCGATTGCTTGCATATTCCGCTAGTTGTTAGTTAATCCTGGGCCGTTTCGTGGTTGCTACTTTCAATCTTTAATGTTCAACAGTGTTTCGGATGATTTATAAAGCTAGGTAATAAAATTGACAGTTACCGGTGAATATTAGCCTATTTCACCTATTTGTTTATACTCAATATTATTGATATTTTTACTTATCATATTGATATAAGGTATCAGTTGTTAGGGAAAACTTTGATAGGTAGTCTTAGTAGTCAATAAACAAGCCCATCTCTTATCAAGTTTCCGTTTAAAACAGCTGTCAGAATAAACCGATATATGATATATAAGTACATATACCTGGGACAGGTAGTATGTCTATACTGAAATGATCTTCAAATAATATACCTAAAAGAAGTAATAGATGATTCTGCATATTGTTGAACAAGATAATATGTATGCACTTTATGCTTTAATAAAGAATTCCTTGTATAATAATGAAGAGCCCTTATAATGAGTGTTGTCAATCTGTAACCAATGTTTTAATTCTACGTCTGTTGTAATCAGCAACTTTTGTTTGCAACTTGATGCCTGTAAGCAATGTTTTTGTTTCTTTGTAAATCTGTTAGTAATGTTTCTGTTAAAGTGATGTATGTTGTCAATCTGGATGTATGGTTTCTGTCAATATGATGTATGTTGTATATCTGTAAGTATGGTTTCTGTCAATATGATGTATGTTGTCTCTGTTAAAGTGATGTATATTGTCAATCTGTAAGTATGGTTTATGTCAATGTGATGTATGTTGTCAATCTGTAAGTATGGTTTCTGTCAATGTGATGTAAGTTGTCTCTGTTAAATGTTGTCAATCTGTAAGTATGGTTTATGTCAATGTGATGTATGTTGTCAATCTTTAAGTATGGTTTATGTCAATGTGACGTATATTGTCAATATGTAATTATGGTTCCTGTCAATTTGACGTATATTGTCAATCTGTAAGTATGGTTAATACCAATGTGATGTGTATTGTCAATCTGTAAGTATGGTTTATGTCAATGTGATGTATGTTGTCAATATGTAAGTATGGTTTCTGTCAATGTGACGTATATTGTCAATCTGTAAGTATGGTTAATACCAATGTGATTTGTATTGTCAATCTGTAAGTATGGTTTATGTCAATGTGATGTATGTTGTCAATATGTAAGTATGGTTTCTGTCAATGTGATGTATATTGTTGTCTATGTTAAAGTGATGTATGTTCTCAATCTGTAATTATGGTTCCTGTCAATGTGACGTATATTGTCAATCTGTAAGTATGGTTTATGTCAATGCGACGTATATTATCAATCTGTAAGTATGGTTTCTGTTAAAGTGATGTATGTTGTAAACCTTTGACTCCGTTAATGGGCAGCATAGACAATTTTAAAAAGTAAATTTGTCAGCCCATCTGAATCATGCAGTACCTAAATTAAATTCATTGAACTGTGAAACGACAACAATCGTCCACTTTTTATGGACGTATAGCAAAAATTGCAAGAAAAAGGAAGATTAAACTGTAGCACTTTTATTACAGACACAATATGTACATTGGGTTCAACTAGATAATGTGAATTGTTCACCCTTATTTTTTTCACAATGGCAGTTTTCTGCCATCAGATTGCCTCAAGTGTAAAAAAATCCATCATTTGTGTATTTTTGTTTTTGTTCACTGGCTTTTAAGTCCAAAATTTTCAAGAAGGTTATCTGTTCCAAACGAAAAAAAAAGAATGCATCTTTATGTAATGGAACCGTTTTTTCTCTCGAAAGTTTTCTAATCGCTGCCCGAAAACTAAGTGATCACCTCCCCCTACCCCCTCTTCCCAAAGTGAATGGTTTGCACTGAAAAACAGATGATCAAAGCGTCGTGCCAAAAATTTTGTACATAACTGACACTGGGAAATCCAAGGAACCAGGGATTCAAGCAAAAATGCGGAAATATTTGATAAGCACAATTCCAAACAATATCACAATTCGACGGTTAACAAAACACACGTTTTCAAAGTTCCATACCTTGAAACGGTAAATCAATATGTAGTTCCATGTAATGTATAATAGCAAAAATCTTTAAGCGACCGCAGACGTTTATCACAGATCAGCGAAGCAAGGATGAATTCGTTGGGTATTGGAGAAAGAAAGCACATAAAGTAGCTCAATTAATAATCTTCCACATCGAAATTTTGTGTTAGAATATGTCTTCCAGATCCACGAAGTTATCAAATGTTTTGAATGTTACATACTGAACTGGTAAAAAATATACCATGAAATGCATTTCAAAAACTGTCCTCGCACTTACGTTCATTACAGATCGTTGGTGCAGTATATTTCAAAGGAAGCTTCGGAGATTCAGAAAAGGTACGATGTGGATAATCATCGAACCGTTGCTAAAGAAACAGAATTGAAACCTCGTTGACTAAGTTGGCCCAAGGGTGGCTATATAGTTTCGGCACTTTTTTTTTCAGCATCTATCCAGTCCTATGGGTATGAAACACAGATTCGAAAAGTTCGGCATACCTCCCTTCTTTAGTGTGAACATCATCCACGGAATCTAACCACCGCATAATACGACTGGACTTGTCTCGGTTACAGAAGTTAGTGGCATTCGTATTGATTGTGGCTAGCTCTTCGGGGAGAACAGGTTTTAAGCCCGGTTTCACTCTCAAAATGTTCTCGTTTTTGTATGAAGACAAAAAATCGTCATGATCTGGGATAGCAAGACGACAGACTACAAATTGTTGACCGTTGGAATCGTGAAGAAATTTAGGAGAGTACATTGACAGAACAGATTCAGATCGTTTGTTTACGGGTTCACGAAAAGCAACAGGCGGACAACGTTTGTCTTGTTTCGGGGAATATGGGTCCCTCTTTCTGTAAGCTTCGCTTCTAGGATACTGTTGTTGATAGGAATGACGCATAGGAGATTTGAAAAGAGACTTCATTTGTTTAGAGTTCTCACTATATGTGGATCCACTCGAATAGGAACCCGGGGACGTTGTCTCAATCGAAATACTTCCAATATCACTAAATGAATGAGTTTGGCGGTCGACATCGTATTGATGTTTCCTTTTACGGAATATATCAGTTTCACTAGCCGTACCCCGTAACGAAAGTTTGTTAAATAGGTTGTTTTCTTTGATTTTCACGCTCAAAGGATGTGGTTTGATTTTGAAAGGTCTACACGAAATGTCCTTGACCTCTCGAATATCCTCCAACTGTTCGTGAAACTTTACTCTCTTTTCGGTCTTCTTTTTGGATTTCTTTTCACGGTTCGAAAGAATTCCTCGAAGACCTGAAGAGTTATTGCTAGATATGTCCGAATGACTGTCTGAACCGCCATCTGTACTTCCGGTGTAAGCGGTACTTCCGGTACAAGTAGTTTCTGATTTGGTCAATTGTACGGAATCAGAATCGCACGAAACGTTCGAAACTACCGGAAGTTCTTTTCTGTTGGAATCTGTGATGATACTTGGATGATTCGGAGTCTTCTTGCACTTGACTCTACCATTATAAGGTGAACGATAGAATGAAGAAATATTTGGGATTTTCAGCTCGTCTTCGTCTCGGTTGTTGGTCGAGCCATTCTGCTTATAACCATTTAGGTTTGGTAGCTGAACTGGGGCGGCGACTTTAAACATGTCGCTTTGTTAGAGTTTCTGAAAGGATAGGAAGGTATAATAAGTATTGGAAAGGAAATAATTAAACCAATATTGTATAATTTACATTGCATTGTATTTGCAAAGCAAGTTGACACAGGGGCTTCATGCAACTATGAAGTACATCGATGTACAACAGTCTAAGGAAATGCAGGCAAAACTTTGGGGACTAAACCGTATTTTTTAAATCATGAAAAAGAAAAAAAATATACATGTACTTACTTTGAACCCAGTTCTATAAACAATATACAGTATATGTTACGATTATATAAAAAAGACTTGAATATTTATATAAAATATACAAGACTGTAGCATAATGGAGGCAAACGAGTCCCTTTGTAAACTACCACCAAATTTTATTTGTCTTTATTTCTATTGTGTTTTTTAAACCCACTCATTGCTCCCTTTGCCCCAGCTTAAATTGTGCTACGGCCTTGAAATATATTTATTTTGAATCATATTTCGAATATAATTTTTGAATTAAAATAGAACCAAAATGGATACTTACCTTTACCAGTTTCCTACATCCAATAACCTATATTTGAATTACCGTGGGATATATTATAGTATATTACAATAGGCACCTGTTTATCAAATAGTTGCCACCATTTATTGTTACATTACAAAACCCTGCCATACACTTATACTGTATACAAATACATACAAAAACATATTGCTAGCCTTTTGATATCGTATATCATTTAATTCCTATTAACACTGACGTCATATTGGATTTTTTACCGTTATATGATTATATATACTTAACCCTTACGACCCGTTTTGTGATACACTTGAAACTAGTAAGAAGTGTTCTATATAATAATATTAATAATCGTTAACATAATCAGTCAAAAGAATTATTATTAATCTCTTTATGAGCCACCGACTTGGTCATAACGTCAATAGATTAACTGTTAAACTATCAGAGAAGGTTGGGGTTACGGTGTCAGAAAGTTCCAACCATTCAAAAGCTTTTCATGATCATGAATAATCGGGAGTCAGTAATTGCAATTATTACAATGTTACATAATACGTCCTTTCTGTGCCTTTCTCTATAACCTGCAAATAAATCCTATCAAGAGTTAACTAATAGATTTATTTCACCTTAACTGCGGTGAGCTCATTGCAATATAGGCATTCATGACGCATTTAAAGAGATTTATAACTGCTTGTCTTGTGTTAAACTAGCCATCCTAGAGACATTCGATGTTAATATTGAAATAAAAACACTATTTTTCTAAGAAATGTATTGAATATATTTAAGATAATACAATCTAAATCTGCAGCAAAACGAGAAAAAATCTCAATATTCAATTTTTTGCCACTTTTCTAATCGGTTGCAACGTTTGAACTTTTAGACGAAGGTGTTGATCAAAGGGTCAAGCAGAAAATTGGCTTAAAAAATCAAGGACTCTTACTCGACCCGTTCTTTGATCCGAATTAATATTGGTAATATGGAAAGTTTAAATCTGAAAATTGGAAGTTTTGTTTTGTATTTGAAAAAATAAATATTGTGTACAATCGATTTCGATTTTCCCTCAAACCTCTAAAATGTCAATAATTGTGAAAATTGTTGTTTAAATGAGGAGTTTGCCAATTTTTCTTCTAGGGCAAATTGATTTAACGAATATTGACTTAATTTGTTTCGTTTTCTTTCCTTTTGGCTACAAACTTTACAAATTTTACATACTTTGTATATTTTAAAAGAAAGAATTGTCTCTCATGATGACATTGCAGCGATGGTAAACATACTATAATTGGAGGGATAGTAAAAAGATCTGATATGCCAAGAGTTAGTCGAGTCCTGAATTTGAAATTTTGCTGGGAGATTTAACAAGATTAAAAAGTTTATTTTAAGATTAACCGGTTGTAACGACGTTGATGATTTTGGCTCCCATTTCAACTTGGTTTTTATTGATCGGAATAAATACAACCTTGAATTTTGTAAAAACTTTTTAAATATCAATATAGAAGATTTTTATGAAGATTTGTTGTAACAACCACTGTTTATTATGGGTCATATTATGCCTAATTCTACAATTTTTTATAGAAGATAAATTTGAACGTCTTCAAGAATTAGTTCTTTTTCCTGAATTTAATGTAAATTTTCATCACTTTAACCAAATCTCCCAAAGAGAAATACTTTGTAGTTACGTTATGACTGATGTACAGGGACCTTATAGCCTACCAGAGACAAGTTTGACATAAATAAAACAAAATAGAAAACATGTTTATGCCAAACTTATAACAGATAAATAATATCAAATGGGGCCTGTATTCAATGCCAACCAACCACCCAGCCTCAGCATCCACCGAAGGTGCCTAATGGTGCCGAAATAACTTGTTTTCACAATAGGCTGTGAAGGTTATTTTTTATACCAAATGGTACTAGGATATTATTCGATATATGTCACTAAAAGTATATCTATTTCTGTTACCATGGTAAATCTTCTATAAAGGACTAAAAAATGAATACAGTTTTGAAAAAAATCTATATCAGACTTCGTGATTCCCCGAAAATTTGACCCTTCTTTTCAAGAATTTAAAGATATTTGTATGGCCATTTTGTGGAAAAAGTGTGAAAACAATTTGAAAGCGCGACATAGAATGTAATATTGAATCAAAGCTTGTTTAAACTAAAAACAACTTGAAACATTGATTCAGGTCGAGAATTAAATAGGCTCGGATTCTTATCTCAATATCAAAATATTTGTCATCAAACTGTTGGGTCGTTGTTTAACATTGAGGCCAGTGTCTGATTGTCCACTGTTATCAACATTTCTTAAAGTTCCCAAGACCTTCTATAAACAGCTAGATTTTGTTTGGGTCAAGGATGTGATTTCTCTACCCACGGGTAAAACAAACATCCACTACATTTCAATTGACTAAAATGAATCATAGTTAATAGCAGCCAATTTCTCTGATTTTCAAAAAGAGGAATTTCTCATTAAGAGTTTGAAATCAGGTTATGATCTGTTATGATTTATGACAGGGTTTGTTCGCCCTTTTCTTTCTATTGTCCTTGATCGCCTGAAATCCGTTACTATTTCAATATTTTTTTTCATGTCGGAGAATATAGCCTGACTGAAGAGAAAATTTGTCCAAAGCGCCTCATTACCAAAATTTCTTAACTACCCCAGGTTGAAACCCTGATCTAAAAGATACAGTCGTTTAAATATTTGCTTTAAAATAGAGTTGGAATTTTCGAACGACCTATTTTAAAAGAAATAGTGTTTTAATAAACTAAAATTATTTACTAAATTTCATAACCTAATTTTTAACCCGCACGTGCATGCCAGTTGTGTGTCACATATATACAACGAAACCATCAATGCCATTAACTGTTGAATGCATAGAATTAAACACACTATAAACCAGGATTAATTTTCTTCACAGCTATTTGCTACATTGTTCACCATATTAGTCCAAAAATACCCCATAAATACATAAATTACACCAAATTAACAATTAACACCAAACACTCACTCAATACCACCAAAATAACAAGCATAAGCATTCCATGCCTGTGACACACTGAACACAAAAGCTACAATAGTTAGTAGAAAGAGAAAATATTCACAAGACCCCTTCCATGCTTGTGGTGCCAAAATTCTTTGTGAACTATGTAACCTAATTAAAAGTTTAGTGCATTAAGCATGCACATGCAAACTGTAACAAAACTCATGCACGAACACAATTTAAAAGAAAGACCAACTTGATATGATATTATGTTTTCTGTCTGTGCACAAAATTCTTCAGAGATCCCAATATTATACGAACCATGTTTGTTCCATTTAACCCAAATCACGACCAAAGATTGTCCTTCCGTTCTATTGACTCAGTTTAAATTTGAAGATTTTGATTTCTAAATGTGATTTTCAATATATTTCAAAACATTTGTGGTTATTGTTTTTGTTAATTTAGATATTACCTCATAAAAAATAGAGATTATCTAGAAATAGAAATAGAAATATTGTAAGATATTGAAAAAAATTATATTTTGAGTAGAGACAAAGTTCCTAACTATGACACTCAATCTGGAGGTGGTTTTATGAGGCCAAGGATGAAATCGGGTTGAAGAGAACAGTTGAACTGACCAAGGACAAAAGGTATACAATGAAAGCTTTATACTTACTTCCTACTACTGTCACCAAACATAGCAAGAAACTGAAGACCTTTACCATCGAGTACTAAAATATCATACTTACCTTGAAATGTAATAAACATGAATTAATGAAATAGATTTCGGTGAAAATCATGTGAACTAGAATCAAGATGAAAAAATGAGGCAATCTGAAAATCCTCGAAATGAATCATGCATGTAATGTAAAGCATATACTATTCTATAAGGTTGTAACCATATTTTTTGTTCCCACCATACATAATAATATCAAAGCATCATCAAAAAGTACAATGTTATAGAAAAAGCTTCCATAAAACTTGCATAATTTTCATTGTTTGAATATATAACTTTTGGCACAGTTCGCCTTCCATATTATTCAACATACAACCTTAGTAGGTATGGATGCCCAAATGGGAAATCACATACGAAATAATATGGCGTGACATAATTTCATCTCAATTCCAGTTCTCACACATTGATAAACTTGCGGTGAAATGTTCGCAAAGCAAATAAAAGCAATATATCAGCCCAAGCTAAGCAGACAACATTGAATATATATACTTACCTATGATCACGTGATCATTTGAAAATCTTTTTGGTAAATATATAGAATGGGTAAAGAGGATATAGAATAACATGCTAAATATTAACAAACGACCATGTTATTATATTTACACATTAAAAATGCCATATTCTGCTATCAGCTTTGCATGAGGTCCATGTTATCAATGCTTTCTAAGATTTGACATTAAAAATTATGTCGTATCCATATTAGACCACACAGTCTGTAACGTTATCATCAAAATAACTTAACTCTTTAAAGATCATACGAAAAATAACATATTTCCTGGTGAGTTCTCAGTTCTCTCTGAGACTATACCCAATTTATGGTATTTGTAAAATAAGACTCCACACATGCAAATTAATAATAGCAATAAATGGGACCTATTTATCAGCATTCATTTTGTTGCGTGTTGTTTTTAAAAGATTACTGCAATATTTTGAAAAACAGAATATAGCATTTTTAAACCATTATACAGATCGCTTATATTGTTTATAAAGATAAAAAAAATCTAATATAGTCTATTTTAATTATCCCATCGCCAGTTCTTTGATAAAATTGAAATTTTAATATGATTTCAAGATATTCACACGAAATAGCCTACAAATAGCAAAAGATTAAAAACAAATCTTACCAATAATTATTTTAATTTATCAGTTTTTAATTATAGTATTTCAACCTCTCTTCACACCATTACACTATTTCCTGGTTGAACTCGACTTGATGTATCTGTAAATCGAAATGAGACACGTCTTTTAGCCACTTCTGCCTTGTCCTAATGACCGAACTCTGTGCCAAATATTAGAAACAGTTACGCTAGTAAAACGACCAGTTACAACCAGCCAATAAGATCTGTGATTGGATCATGTAAGAGGTAAAATACAGGTAAACCTGACGTCAGTTCACTGATTGATTGATTGTTTTTTTTTCTTTTGTCAACTTTGTACAGATTTAAAACAATAGATTGACTCCTGTTCGAGTATTAAACAACGGGATCTAAAATCTTTGTATTTCTTTTCATTTTAAAATCTTTGATAGTAACTGACACACTTATTAGTTTGGGTTTTTATTGTGAACAACATATCTTGCTCATCAGGTGTATTTCCCTGAGATATACCCCGCGGTATCCAGCCAAGTAATTGTGATTTGTGAAAGGGAACGGAGGCAATCATTGATATTAAGTTTTGAACATACTAAACAAATAAAAGAACCTTCATAATAGAAGAGACATGCAATTTTATGAGTGACTAAAACTATTTGTCTTTTGTTGCACCTGAGGGTATCTCTCCCCAAACTCCTTCTTTATTTAGGCCTATCAGAGGAAATTAATGTTCTCGTCGATATAGAGACCTAATGAATTTCAAACTAAGTAAACGCCTGGCTGGAACATTTGATGAAAATAGTTACACTGAAAAATATGTAGGCCTGTTAGCAATCTTATTGCTTCATTAATATGATAGTCTCAAAGTGTAATTGTCGGGCAAGCAAAGTTACGCCCACATCTCCACATAAGATATCTACTTTTTTATGCAATATCAAGACAATTACATTGATTAGATTTTACCCCTATTATATTTTCAAAGGATGGTGCATAATAAAAGATAAAGTCTGGACCTACTGTTCCTCGGACGGATTGGAAGGGTGCGATTCTGGAACATTTAAATGATGGAGAGTTGCTCCGATCCAGTTTTAGATCATTAGATTAAAGCTTTCCACCAAGATAATGACCAGGGCCAACTTTGGCTCAGTCGTGGCAATCGTCTTTATCCTAGAAACTTTTTGAACGGTTCAAAAGTTTTCTACGATGAACACGACCAATTGTCAATCGGTATCATCGTATAAGATTTCAGAAAAATTCTGCGTTCAGATGCGAAACGGATTGCATGAGCATTTGTCTCGTATCAGTTCTAACCAGATCGACTTGACTCGATCCGTCGTGTTTTGTTACGAAACAGTACGATCTGATACGATGATCCCGGTTGCCAATGGATCGTGTAGATCGTAGAAAATTTTTACAAAGTTTCTATTATTTACGCGATTGTCTCGACCGACCTTCAGATGATAGGATAATCACGTTTGTCTACGATTTAGACTTCGATTTAAATCGTGCCGCGAGTCGTGATAGTGAGAATCTACAAGATAGAATGTTTACGTTGGTGATTAAACCTTATCAAAGATTAAGGAGATTTTATTGTTGTCTTGAGTTTTCACTGTCAGAGTTATTTCCCTTCAACTAAGTTTTCAATGTAGAGGCAAAAACAAACCTTCAATCAAAACAACATGGAGGATGTTTTTATCAATTAATTCAATAAAACGATAAATATTACTTTCTGACGTGTAATTCAGATGATAATGGCTGTTTATGGTCTAACCAACCCCTTCAGCTTATGGTACTAAATAGATATTTTCTATCTTCATACCATCGTGTCTGTCGGCTTGATTTTAGATATCAATTTCTGGGCGTGATATTGGTAATATTATAGAGACGCCTCTCTCCATTCCAGGTTCACCATATTTCCTATTATTGAATTGTCTCTTATGGTTTGTAAGCTTTTTCAATGGGTGTTCAATGTGTCTTAAACAGAACATGATGGTAATTCTTAGATATTATCAAACTGCAAATGACAAAACCTCTCTGTAGGCCTGAATATTTACATTTTTTTTTGTTTCAGTTCCAGTAATTTGATACAATGAGTTGTTGTTAAAATGAAACTCTCCAAGATGGCTAAAATAACTTGGACAGTTAATCTGGTACCCAGAAAAATCAAGCAGTATTTTAGGCAGAAGTGGGAATATTGGGTATTAATGTATAGAACAATGTTTTACAATGAATTTACTACATGGAATTCATGTATTGATACTGCCATGGAACCAATGTTTTGGTTTGTTGACCATTTTGCTAAATATCTTGGACCTGTAAGTATGATTTTAATCAGTTCGTTTGATTTCACATGATAAATAGCAAAGATAAACATATGAATCTAAGTGAAAAGAATAAGAAAGAAGAATTCACTAATAAAATCTAGAGAAAAACCTAGTTTAATAAATTTTGTTCTTGGTCAGTTCTTGCTGCTGCCTAAAAGTATGAAATCAAAAGATAGAGATAAACACCCATATTTTACGAGGATAATGTTCATAGGGATCCTATCGTTGGTCAACTTCTTTGCATTGATCTATTCCTGATTTCATCGCATAAGTGTAACCAAAAAGTGATAACTGTTTATTGTCAATATGTGTTTATTTTTTAGATAATGGTTACATTTGTAGTTATCATGATAACATTTGTTGTTGCTGTATTCTACACCTGTTTATTTCCTCGTATTTATTTTACTTCCCATACACTAGTCACAGTGGCTCATTTTATATTTGGTAACTGGTTATTGATCAATATTGTCTTTCATTATCTGATGGGTGTTTTCAGAAATGCTGGTCAGCCTCCTTCTTCAGTGAGTAGCTTTTGTTTGTGTAGTATTTCATATTCAGAAAATTGTGAGATGATCACAACTATCACATTTTTTAATATGTAGCTGAAGGATCACTCAGTAAGCACGCCCCTTTATCAATAAATAGATGAGACTGTATCCAAATAGCTTTGCATTAGGCAGAGAATTTTAACCAATCAAAACAGTCTAATTTACTCATATATTATTGTTCTTGTGTTCATATTTCCAAAATAAAATGTAAAAAAGAGTATGTGCAAGCTTGCTGATAACTGCATAAATCAATATGTGAAAGCTTCATATTTTGTTCTTTTTCAATCTCATTTTTTTTTTATTTATTTCAGAATGTGGAGAATTCGGTATCAATTTGTAAGAAATGTATATCACCCAAACCACCCAGAACACATCATTGTAGTGTTTGTAATAGCTGTATTTTAAAAATGGACCACCATTGTCGTATCCTTTAAATTCAAATCATAATGACTATTTTCAAACTAGATGGTTTTATTTAAGAATTATTGAGAATAATATGGCATACCTCAATATTTACATTCTAAATAAATATTTTCTAGATAGCTAAAATGCAGTCCAATAGAAGAGAGGGGACAATCAAAAAAGTAGTTTATGTGTGGTCTTTGAGACAAAACCCCATTCCCCAATGGTCTGAACTTTTTAAGGGAATTTTAAATAGTCTAAACCAAGTTAATTAATTCCATCCTTTTCCTTAACTCTAAACTAGCTTGGTTGAATAATTGTGTAGGGTTTTATAATCACCATCATTTCTATTTATTCTGTTTGTATATGTGGATTGGTACAATCTATGTCAGTTATGTTGGCTATGATTTATTTATACAGCATTTTTATGGAAATTCAGTAAGTATACAGTTGATTTATTAACTACATATGAACAAGTCTATTATACCATGGAACCGATGTCAGTCTAAATGGATGCTGCGCAGAACTGAAGGTCAAATTTCCCAGCCATTCCCCACCCATGTTACTCAATTTTGAGTGTCATTTCCCTTCAGTGAAAATTGGCATTTTTGTGTTACTGGCCACGTACTGGTCTAGTGTAACATTGAAAATGTCTAGCACTGTAAACTATAAGGCGCCCTGTTGTATTTACAGATCTATGAAATGATTGATACAGTTTTAAATCAAGGAGCACCTTATATCACTCTGATTAAGGTAAAAACATCATGTAGTTGTAGTTATCTTTCTTGATCTGTTTCTTTTGGCCCTTTTTCATGTCTTTTCTGTATTAACATCACTTTGTAATCAACTTGTTTTTATCAATAATTTTCTTTTTCAGGAGTTGATCTTTCCTAATTTTTTATACCCTTTAAATACTTTAAGAGATAAAATATCAGCAAAGGTAAGAATTTTTTTCAATATTACACTGATTACATTTATTCACCTTAACACAATTGGTGTATTTACAAGCTGTGAAAACTATAAAGAATGGTTTGTCAGTGTGTTCTTAAAATATCACCTCAAAAGTTACCTGTAAAGATGGTGCCAAAAATGAGATGTCAAAGCATAGCTGATAGTACTGTTCAAGAAGCTGTTAATAATCAATATGACTGACACTCTAAATACATCATTATCAAATTTTTCACAGCTTTATACAGATTTGTATTTCATACATATTTTGTCACTCAAGTGTCAATATTTTTGTGAAAACCATTTAAATGCTTCTTCAATATTCAATTATATATTATTTCCAGTCCACTGATGAAACTCCCAGTGAAGAAATAAAGCCTACCGAAGTCAGTGTTCATAAAGACAGTCATATTCAAGAAAACATAGTGAACTATAAGGATGAAATGTTCCATAATTTAGTAGTGTTTGAGTTTTTACTATGTACGGGTGTATCTATAGCTCTAGGACTGTTAACATTATGGCACTCTAGACTAATAAGTCGTGGTGAAACTAGTATAGAACAACATATTAATGGTAAAGAAAGAAAAAGATTAAAAAAGAAGGGGAGAGTAAGTTTTACATTTCAATTCAGAGACGCATCTTTTCATCAATTGTTAAAAATTTGACCTACTGAGGTCAGATTGAAAACTTGGAAAGGAGCAATTCGATGCTATCAGCCTCCCTGATACATATAAAAAGTTTAAACTTTCCAGAAGACTTATTGTTTGAGAGCTAAATTTATTCTTAACTCTCAGTGCCCTGCATTATCTTACATATCTATTTTGATTATTTGTGTATTTTTCTATTTTAGGTTTTTAAAAATCCATATAATTTAGGCATTATAGCCAATTGGAAAGAATTTTTTGGTGTCACAAGAAAAAAGTAAGCATTTGTATAGTTATCTTTTAATTAATTGAAATTCACTGAAAGTTAAGAATCTTTTAGAATATCAGCTCATCTCATGCTGCTGAGAAGTGTTTCATGACGTCTAGTTTTAAAAATGGGGTTACCTTTTCCTATAATTATATTTTGCCTTTAATTAGATTTAAGGCAAATGAGCAAAGAATATCATTAGATTCAGTGTACCATTAGACTTACTTCAGATTGAAATGGCATGTAGACTTTTACCTATCCTTAATAGCTTGTATGATAGCTGTTAAATATAGCTGCTGTTCTGTTTTGAGACTTTTTAAGGTATGGCTGTTGAAGCACATCATGTATACATTTTTTTTTAACTTGAAAATGTTATTGTCTTTTCAGGTCATTCCTCAGATTAGTATTATTCCCATCATTCCATGTTCCTAAAGGTCACGGGTTAAACTGGAAAACATCGACGTATCAACTTAAAGATCAAAATGGTTTACAATTATTGTGATATTCATACTTTTAATGACATGTGCTTGAACAAGAAGATTTGTGGAAACACATAATTAAGGTTGTCATAACTATCTTGATGAAAATCAAATGTGTATCATGTCCTCATACAAGGCTGTTGAATAATCAAGGCTATAGAGGCAAACAACAATCCAAACTTTAGAAGTGTCTTTTTTGATTATGTATGTAAATCCACCCATACCCTCCTTAGCCTCATTTGAACTCTTATTGTGCTGCGGCCTTTGAATATTTAATAATTCTATTCCACTGGGAAATAAAAACAAGCACCTGTTAATAGTGCAATTATATCTATAAGATAGCAGTAGCTATTTTAGTGAATATAAAATACCATGAAAATATTTAATAATATGAGATTGCTATTGGATAGTATCTACTGATTAAGCATTTACTTTAATAATTGGATATTACTTAATGGCAAATGCCTATGAATATGATACTTGAATAATAGTATTTTAATAATGTTCAAAGCATATTTAAAAATGCAAAAGAAAAACACAATGAAAAGTATTGTTTTATTAAATTGTTCATATACATATCTGAGTTCAGTAATATAGCCACATGAAATATCAAGAGCCTCAAGTCTCAAATAGAAATAGATGAGGTCTTTAAGTTATAATTTCTAACTTCAACCACACATCTGGAATCAAGAACCCAGTTTAAAACATAGTACCATTCTTTCCAAATAGTACACAAGATTCTGTTGATAAGATGCAAATATATTCCAAAAATACCATAAGTAAGTCTTCTCATCTCCTTTCTCCCATTCCAATATTTGATAAATTCTGTTTGAGGTATGCCAATGGATATGATGATGAAGGTGGTGGGGGCAGTACAAATGGTTGTTGTCCTGGGGGTCCAGGATGACCCGGGGGCCCTGGGACTGTAAACTGAGGTGGTGGTTGTTGATGCATCATACTAGGGTGAGGAGGCGGTGGACCCTGAGGTTGCTGGGGGTGACCAGCACCTCCTGGCTGTGGACCTCCATTACCAGGAATTTTATGTAATCTATTTTGCCAGTTCTGTAATCTTTCATGATGTTTATCAATCAATTTCTCTTTCCTTTCAATTTCATTCTTCAATTCTTGAATATCCTACAAAAGGGACAAATGCATTTTGAAAACAGTTATACAGAAACTTAAAGCAATTTACAAATAAATAGGAACCATTTGCTAAATTGCAATCCTTCAGAAGAATAATGGAATAATATATTTTTAATATAGAATTATTTACATGTTCACATTTTTGTGCACATTCTATGAGCTTTCTACAACTGTTGTAGATGGATGCAAATTTAGCCGAGAGATTTGATTTGAGATTCTTGGGTAAATTTGATCCAAATTGTTGAATAATAGTGAACACAAATCATATCATTTGTGTGCTATGTAGGATTCATTAATATGTGATCTGTAAGAAACATAATTTACCTCTTTCAAAACTTGCTCTGGTTTTTGTGTGGATAACACTAATCGCTTATTGAGAAAAAAATATTCAGTTTCTCTAGCTAAATCTATAAACTTCTGTACTGATTGTTCAATTCCTGAAAAGTATAAAAACTTCAACATTGAGATTATTGTCAAACACAATTACTACTGCTCGATACTTACTTGAGAATAGCAATTTGCCTGAATTTTTGTATGAATAGAAATAATAAATCCTAAACTACTTACTTAGGTTGATGGTCAACAAATCAGATCAAACATTTTTGGAAATATGAATTCAAGAGGTGAATTTTCACCTCGAAATCTGGGTTGTGTTTAAATTTAACATGGTCTATACTTAGGTTTTAGGTCAAAGAGTATTACTGTAATTTGGAGACAAAATACTCACCCACTCTGCTTTCCTCTGTCGTGTCTGAGGAATTGAAATGCTCTTGTGCTGACAACTGTTCTACACATTTCTACAAACAGAATGTGAGCACTTGATGAAATAAAAACAGGTGTCTGAGAGTGCACATGACATTACTATGTTCTAAATTTGGACCTGTAGACTTTTAAATGAATATCAACACTTCCATTTCACTTTAATTTTTCATAGCTTAACTTTTAATTAATTAGAATGCATGTCTTCTGGGACAATATCATCAGTGACACTAAAATTGTCACCAGCCAGTGACTGATCAGATCTAACGTAACACACCACTTTATCTACATTCTAAACAAAGGAAATATGACAAGTTTCACTTCAGCTCTACAGAATTTATGAGTTATGAAACCCAGTCGTTAGGAGCGATGACCACGTAACTTAAGCGGTACTAACCTTAAAAGCCTGCTCTAACTGATCGATTTGGTGAGTTGAAGTTTCTTGGGGTTCTTGAAAAGACGCCATGATGGTTTTTAAAAATGTAAACATCCGGTTTGAGGTCAAGGTTGAAAGGGGAAGTAATTCAAAATAATGGATGACTAGGAAGTAATTTTCCTCTGACACAGAACAAAATTTCTTTCAAATTCTTGGAAAAAAGAACATTTAGGATAAATATATTCGCCCCCTTATAAAAGTTATCACAGTGAACAATTTGTGGTTTAGAATACCTGGCCACAGTACCAAAATGAACAAGTTTGAAAGTTGGTAGCCAGGCTATAAAGAAGGGTGGGTTACAAAAATACAAACAATAGAGCTAGTGAAACAGTTTGTTGTCACATATGATTAATCACTTTAAGTAACAAACTTGATAAATTCTTTCTGTGTTCAACATACGTATGGAGTTCATATGTAGCTGTGTTGTCAAAGTTTGTTAGAAAGAAGACGAATGGACCCTTTTTTCTGGTTATAATTCCATGGCATAAGGAGAATATAAGGTTATTCTATTGATACCTGTATTTAAAAGGAAAAGTTCTGTCTCTGAACAGTATTGTCAGCAATATATTGACAATCTGTAAAAGATTTACATCCAATACAAGGTACCCAACATCCAAATCTGTGATATTAAAAACTAAGTGTGAAATATGGCTTCAACTAATTCCACCCCTGCACCCCTACCAACACAAACATTGGTGCCAACACCTAGTATAGCACCTGTTCCCTCACCAGGATTAGCTATAATGACTGACAGCACAAGCAGATCACGAGAATCTGGATCACGTAGGAATCGTTCCCGAAGACGCAGTAGGAGAGATGGAAGTAGAAGCCATTCCTCACACAGATCAAGGATTCGCTTTAAACAGAAGGAAAAGAACTTTGCTGCTGCAGTGTGTAGCATGATAACAATAGTTACTCTATGTACAGCGCTTGCTGAACCAAACTGGATCTCATTGTCTGGAGGAGGCTGTACAATTCCATTCAAAGGAGATCTACACCATCTTGGAGCCTATCAGTTCTTCTATGATGGAACTTTTCATCAAAATTCTAAATCTTTGAACAGTTATAAATTTGGTCCTGAATCAACTGATGGTAAGTAATAGTGTTATATTATTTTTTTGTTAAGAATGTGAGGTGATTTTAATGTGAAAAATTAATGAATATCTTTAGATTGAAAGAAACTATTCTTTTTCTTATTGTTGAGATAAAAAAAAATATAATTAGAATGTGGTAAGATCTTTTCTAATGCTGGCACAATATATTGAGAAGCGATAAATCACTATATGACACCCAATGTGGCAACAGTAAGCCTATTAACAATAAATTACTAGAAATATTATAGTGTTTTGTTTAAAAATATACAATAGTGAAAAAAGTAATGAAACTTTAAAGATAAAGTACTACATTTTATGCCATATGGCATACGCTTACTGTTTTTAATTCATCATAACCCCTATATAGTGATACATATCATTTCATAACATGATTTATAATACACAGCTCTAATATTTCATATCTTTTTCTTTTCAGTAATGACAAACTGTGTTACATTTACAACTGTGTTATTATTTAAGTTCATTATTGCCTTCTGTTTCCTTGGTATACTATGCAGCCTTTTTGCCTTCCTATTGGATTTGATGGGTCCTGCTCATAGGTTTTTAAAGATGTTAAGAAGAAATGCTATATTTAGTATATTATCAGGTAGGTAATGCCAAAACTCCACCGATTTTTTTTTAACTGAATCATTCTCTGTTTGGATAGAATAATATTTCAGTCAGTCTTCAATGTTGTAGATAATTTGAATTGGGCTTTATTTGAACAAAATATGCCACCATAAGAACAGCTGCTTTTGAAATATTTTTGCATCATTGGGCTTTGGAAGACGGGGACTTCAGGTGCGATTAGACATGGGACATCATCCAATGCACGATAAACAACTAATTAGAAATAGGAGAAAGGAATACATTAGGTATGGGTCCAGCCCTGATTTGTCATTCTTCATGTGGAAAATAACTAATTTACGTTATGTGTCCTTTCTAATTTCAGTGTTAATGTGTGTGGTTGTGAACCTGTTCTGTTATTATGTAACAGTTTATGTGTCTCAGCTCCAGAAAACATCCAAACTTCATAAAGGAAGTAAAGTGGAAGTATCATTCGATATCAGTTTTTATTTAGTAACAGCTGCTGGGGGTATTTCAGTTTTTAGCGTAGCCTGTAACTGTCTCAGACAGCGCTCACCTTACGAAGAATCAAGACATAATTATATAATGAATGAATATGATGATCTGAATAGCTTATTACCAAATATGGATTTAGAGTCACCATCATTGACTTCCTCTGGAAATATTCCTCCTCCGCCTGCATATACACCTTAATATAAACTGAGTGATTTGGTTCCTCTGCTATAACTGTGAAATAGTGCAGAATAATTGACAGTGAAATCAAAAGAACGTGCTTTCATTTGAGAACAATGACATTGGTGTTTGCACAAAACATGTTATGATTCAGTTGTAAATTTATATGATCCACAGAATTGAAACGTTAGAAACAGCGGAATTGCATTTATTTCAAAAGAATGACTTTGAAGTATGGATATAACATATAATATATATTCTGATTTAGTTTTGACTTAATTTTAACCACAAAATTTAAACATAAGAGACACTGAAATTCAAATCTAGAACTTTTTGTACTACCTATATTAGGAAAGGTTGAATATTGAAACATAAAAATGATCTATACGAGTTTGTTGTAAATATAAGTGTCATTTTAGCACACACTCTAACTTTTCCTTTATGAAGTGTCAACTAGTTAAAGACAATTATTTAAATCGCAAGGATTAGTTTCAACAAAGTTGATATATAAAATGGAAATATTTTCGTGATGATTCTACATCAACTTCAACAGTGTTCACCAATGCTATCTTCAGTGATCAAGGATTTAATGCAAATATGGCTTGAAAATCAGAACTGTGATGTGTTGTAAGTAACAAGTCTTTCTAAAAAGTAAATGAATAGGAATTCATATAAGACTTGAATGATATTTAAGAATTGGAATTCACTTAAAGTTTAGGTTATCTGTATAAAACAACATTGTGATACTAATGCTTCCTTTTATAGCTATGTTAATACTTTTTGTGGGCTTTTATGAATTTGAAAAATCTTCCATCTGGCTTCATTTGGAGAAATGTGGCATGCAAGCACTCGCACTATTCCCATAGGTACTTCTCTCTTCAATGATATTACTGAACATTTCAAATATCCGAAATCCAAATCTGTGATTGATTTTGTTTGCTTTGCATATTATGAAGCACTTTCAAAAACATTCAATAAATAGGATAGATTTTGGTAATTGTAGTTAAAAACACAAAATCTGATGTAATGTGCTTAGAAAGATCAACATATAGAAAAAATATAGGTAAAAATTGAAATGGTTATGTTACAAATCAGACTGTCTTTATTTTTACAATTTGCTTAAGCTTTTGTGACTAACTTCTGTTAAATCATGTGTTATTATTTATAGTGCTGTTTGTTTATATTTTATATTAGAAATGTCATTTTTCATATTAAATATGGAGCTAACATCTTTGGCGTTTTTCAATTTGAGGCAATTACACCAGCCTCTATCATCACGTCCAACATAATCTGCACGTTCTAAATCTGGCCATTTATAGTCAAGTAAAGATATTTGTGATATCACAAGAAGAGTCCACTTAGTTTTTGGTTAGAATATGCCGTCACTTTTCAAGAAGTCCTTATGTAATAAAGCATATTTTGCGTAAGTGACCTCATAAAACACATAGTTTTAGTGGAATTGCAGGAACCACAGATGTCTGATTGAAAATTGGAATGGCAAAAATGATGCTGTCACTGTCCCTTCTTTACAATCAGTTTAAAAGTTCATTAATTTTTAAACTGTTTTTGTTTTGAATTTATATGCTCAACTTTTCCTTTTTCATTTACAACTTTTTCCTTGTTGACAGATTGGTCTTGTTCATAAAAAAAAAAACAATCCAGTGTAAAATACCAGAATATATTTTATTCTGCACCAATAATATTACATTTATTTACATTTAATAAAATATTAACATTAAAATATCAACAATTAACATACAACTTGTCTGGAGGACACCAAATATTCTCTCAACATTACATTTACTGGAGGTTTACAGATTGCTTTAACATAATAATTGACTTATACATAAGTCCAATAGAATCCTTTACAGGGATATATTTCAAGCATAACATTCAAGGATCAATAATTCTATGGAAAGCAAGCAAAAAAAAAAGAATCTATTTGATTTCACAGACATTCATTACAATTTGAATTTCAATTTTATGAAGACATACTTCATTTGTGCTCAGCATTGTGCAAGTGATCTCATAGAATTAGGGCATGTACTGTAGTTGAAGAAGAAAAACATACAATATATTTTGTGATTTAAGCTGCATGTTCTTCATGCAATGTTATACTGCTCATTTTGAAATATTTTTGCTTTAACATGAATGGATTCATTGCACATACCTATATTCTCAAAATAATTGTATTTTAAAAAAAGAAAAGATTTCAGATATCTACTAGATAAAACAAGACCTATTCATTTATCACAGTACATTTATAATTTTATCTGGAAAAGATAATATATATACTATATCTGAGTCTTTCACTATATTCAAGTCAACTTGACTTTCCAATTTGAGAACTTATCCAATGATAAACAAAATAACACATCCCTTGGTAAATAATGAGTAGAAGAGTGTTTAAAAGCTAATAAAATATAATATTATTAAGATGTAGGGGCTGTCTGTGTGGAGTTATCTGTACCAGTTGTTATATCATCAGGGAAATCTAATACAACTCTGTTGGCTTGTCTATGGTATTGCTGTTGTCTGTAGTATATTTTTAAAACACCTTTAATAGCTATAAATGCAATACCACCCTGAAATTAGAAACAAAATAGAGGTCATTGAGGTTTTCCCGGTAGCATAGCATAGGTACAATTTGAAGTAATATTGCAACAATAAGCAGAGTTGGTAGCAAGTTGGATTGTTGTCTGCTAAGAGTTTAGGTGCTGTGAGAAGAAAATTTTTGGTAACAGTAGCTAGTACTGAAAGTTGGCCTGCCACCTAAATGTTTCTAAATTAAAAGAGCTCATCAAAATTTCTGATATCTGATACCACGGAAAGTTAGCCCTTTGTCAGCTTTTACCTAATTGATTAATTGAGAACTCATCAAAAGGACAGTTGGTTTGGAAATGGATGATAAGGCTGCAATATAGAAGCAAACTCTCTAAACTGGAGCGAGAAGTCAATCAACAAGAATCATGACAGTGTGAAAACAAAAGATAACAATTTGCTAAATCACCAAATCCACATCTTTTCAATGTAACCTTAGGAGCCGGCCGATGTGGCTCAGTGATTATACGTTTGCTTGCTATCTTGAACATACTTCGTTAGTTGGAATTGAAAAAAGAGTAGGCTTATGAGGCTGTCCTGGAAAAATTTCCTCAAGGCACACTGCATGGCGTTGCCCCTATTCATTAGTCCAATTGGACGCAGAAGGGTAAGACATGCAACACCTATCTAAAGTTGAAAATTTGTTATACTTACTAATAAAGTTCTCTGGAAATTTGACTGTACGGAACCAAACATTAATTTACCAACAATAGTAGCTATAGTGGGTAAGACTAGAGCCCCACATAACACTCTAGTAGCTGAGATAGGGTCTGATAAGGGAACAGTTTCAGCAGGTACTCTAGTATAGCGAGATAATTCTGAAATTAATTAAACATATAACATAATAAATAACATTTATTTAAACAAACCTTAATCATCAAATTGTTTGTTAAACAGGGAATATAACATAAGCCCACTGATAAAGCCTTAAGGTATCAGTCATATGAATAATATTCAAAATTTTTCGAAATTTCATCAAAATCTTCCACATTCTATAAATATTTCCATTCCAAACCATTCAATATAAGTTACAGAAATTACTCTACACAATACACCAACATGAATTATCTGTTTAGGAGTTATGACATGTGATAAAGAAGTTTGGCACTTTTGACAATCAGCTTGTTTTGAAATTTGATAACATTCATTTAGGCCCAGAGAAATAATGAGAAAGTTAGAGCTGGAATATGACCTTTGTTCACTTTTTGCTACACAAACAAAAGGTATGGCGTATATCCCAGTCTGAAATTGGTCTGCTTGATGTAGCAAGACAATATTTAGTGTCGACTGATGCAAGACTAATGCATCATTGTATTTGGTTATGGTATTCAAGTAATGCCATGGTTACTACCGGTATAGCTCCAACTCGGTTAGATGGAATGACAGACCAGATCCACCTCTCAAATATTAGATGGATTTATCTCCCTTCCATCAAAGAGAAGAACACAGTTTGAAGTCTGTGATGATGCAAAAACTACCATGTTAAATATAGATATTAAAATACAGTACAGATGGTAATAAATATGATAACAGACATTTTAAATTTAACAACAAGACAATATTCACATATGAATTTATGATAAAATTATTAGGTAATGGCTATGAATATGGAAATTGGTAATGGTCTATATATTACCATTTTAACATGGTTACATTACCTCTCAGTAGAATATATCTGTAGACTGTAATGACTCTCAGTAAGGCAATAAAATGTTGAATAATAAACTATGTGAAGGTTTATTACATGTTCAGTTATTAAGGAGGGTAATAAAAACTTTCTAACTGTACTTCTTAAAGCACCAGGACAAAATTACAATAATGACCTGAGAAATTCTGCAATATTCAATGTTGAATATTTGACTTATATTGTCAGCCCTCTCTTATCAATGTTTTTCATTGCCTGGTAGTGAAATATTACACATTATGAACCTACTGAGTCTAAATTTGCATGAAAACAGTAAGAGATTGCAGATAAATCTAAAAAAAATGTCATTCATTATTTGTAAGTGCTTTATAATCAATAAACAGAATAACAATATTTTTTTTAAAATTAGTTTTAGAGGCAGGTCAATATTGTATTTGTATAATAGTTAAATCATTAATAGCTGGTTTTTATTGAAAACTAACCAAGGCCCTGTGTGCTACAGGCTGTGCAAGTGAAAGATCTTGCGACAGTTGGATATTGAAAAAGACACGGCTAAAGCTGCTGTCCTGGCAAAATTTCTCTCCCTGCAGACAGCAGTTCAATCAGGTGCAGAAATTTAGGAAGTATAACACCATTTAATTAAATTTGCTAAGTTGGTGCAAGTGGTACAATAGAGGCAAATGACTTTGATATTCATCTGATAGAAATAACTGAAACAGCATGTAGATTTGTTTCAAAACTGAAAGTAACTTATCTGTATTTTGGAGTAAGTTTTGAAATTGCCTGTATTATCAGCAGAATGGGCTAGGTATATTATCGACTATCATTAATGACAATGACAAGAAGGTTAATCTATGTAATTAGTCATTAAGATAACGAAGTATTTTAATTAATGGTTCATGATAAAAAATATAATAGAACACAGTATCTCATTACAACCTTTCACAACCTCTATTAATTTGTTTTTTGTTTGACTTGCTCTGAATCTTGTTTTTACTTGTCTAACAGTAAATTTCAGAATTGCCAAATGTTAAACTGAAAATAGTCAAAAAATTGAAAGCAGCTTTGTCCAGCCATACAAATTTAATCCACATTTGGTATTTTCTTAAAAGCCAGCAATAATTCCAAACAATGTGGATTTAGAAACCTCTTTATTTAACAATAGGCTAAATCTTCTTTAGGGATGAAGCCCGAAACTGGTCAGTTTGACACAGCGTGTAACTCTATGTAACAACATATTTCAGGTTCTGTTTTAATATTTCAACCCAAAAAACATGTTGATTGTGGAGAAGAAGCTGACATCTAATAAATATTTCCTGGTGTTTAATTAAAAATATTGACATGATTAACGAAGAAAGGTTGACCATGGGAATAATGAAGGTTAAACTCAAGGTCATTTCAATATCTCTTATCAAATAATATAACATGAATATAAAAATGGGCTCTGCAAACATGTTTCTCTTACTTCTGTCCTGTTTTCTAGTCTATGTATCTCAGTATATTGTGTATTTTTGATGATCATTCAGCCATATATAAGAATCTTATTCAATTTTACAGGCATTGAAAGTGCAAGACATTTTTAATAGCTAAATGTCATGAGTCTGAATACTGGCAATGTTTAAATGCAAAAATTTGGCCAGTCAGAGGTTCTTTAAAATTTATAATACACTGATTGGGTATCCTTCATTTTAATTTTAGTCGTCAATTCATGAAATTACCTATCAAATAATAAATGTTCATAACATGTGAGGAAATTGGTAAGGATTGAGATCCACGTAACAATTACTTTGATCTCCCAATTCCAAAATGCTTTCTCCTCAACATTTCTTACTGAAAGTTGAGTTTTGTTCACTCCCCTCTACAATTCATGAAATTACCTATCACTATCAAGTCATAAATTTACTTAATATCAGAGGAAATTGAAATGGATTGATTATGATCATCAAAGAAACATTGTTAAATACAATACTGGTCTATCAATTCAGAAATGTTTTCTTCTTGTTATCAAGGATTGAAAACTGAGCCGAACACAGCCACAAGTTTGATTATCAAGAGAGCACTGAGACATAAATTGATGAATGTTGAAATAATTACAGGAAATTGAATTTAGAGAGACAAGATGAACCAATGAAGATAAAGTTACTGATGTTAAACGAGAAATATTTCACAACTGATGATGAAAAAAAGGAATCAACCACCAAGATACAATAGTTACACCTGAAAGTACTTCTCTTCTGAGGAGCCCACTACCATACAACTTTTACTCCCGATTTTGCCATACTTTGGACGAGATTTTTGATTAATGGAATTGTCTTGCTTGTACAGCTTTTTATTTTTAATACATATGAATAAAGTCCATGTCTTTTTGAAAAAATCTCATAATGAATTTAAGTCTTAGATTTAATCCCTTTCATACCCTTTGTTATTATCTTAATTTGAGTGATTTGTCTGACAAACTGACAGTTGATTATAAATTGTTGAATCAACCAAATAGATCAGTAAAGACAACCTGTTAACACAGCTAAGGTTGAGGATAAAATGGTGTATTAATCTTTATATGTCTGATCATTTTGAAATATAAATGTAATATTGATCTTTTTATACTCAAGCACATATGGATCCAGTGCTAATCATAAACACATAACAGTAACAGATATTATAATTAATTTTTCTAAGAATACAGTGTTTGTCAAACATGGAATAGAAAACAAAAGATGTACATAAATATACAACAGAGATCCACTACCAAATCAGGAAGAAAAAAACAGAGAGAGAGTACAGTTAAGCTATAGAAACAAGGTTACATTTAAACTAAATTATAAATAATTCCACCAAGGACACAGTAATTCTTGTTTTGGAATGAAGAAATACAAATCAAATTAAAGAGAACAAGAGAAAAGAAAAGATTGGGAATGAAATTAGGGGAAACTAGAGAATGAATGGTTGTTAATAAGGTCTTAAGATTATATACCATTAGAAAATTTATTGATTTCATAGCCTACATTTATCAAACTAACAGTACATCTATATGGCGTACTGCCAGAATCAATACCATGATCACATGTGTTCAAAATACCTCTCTAACCTATAATACACTACTCTAAAACCATTAAAATTACATCTTCATCAGTCAAAAACATCCTACATAGTCATTATTTCAAATGAAGTCAGATCTCATTAAACTATACTTCACATTGAATGAACTGTTTTAAAATTGAACAGTGAATTTGCATCAATATGTTTAAAGAGAGGATAATCAATGTGTTATTTACATTAGAGATAGAAACAGTATTGACATTTCCAGCAAAATCTGCTTCTGACTTCCTATAATTTACAGAAAAGTAGGAGGTAATACTCCATTCATTTCACTTTTTTAAATGCATCTACTGTGCAACATGAACCATGTATCAGAGGAGTTAAATAAGCAACCTCAATTAAAGATGGGTTTCCTTATTTACATTTATGAAAATGAAAATGCTAATACTTATATGAATAGAAAGAGGTGTTCATATGACTTGGAAAAAAACCACTTTATCTCACATGTCCATAATTGATAAAATAATTATCTAAATTAGAAGAGAATTACCAGCAGAATTCCAACGTGTGACCGATCAAGAAAGGTCAAAAAGTCTTTTTATGTTTATCCTGACTGTACATACATGGACATTTATTATTGGTTAAAACTCTTAATTATATGTCATAAGAACATAATGATATGATTAAGAATACATGATAATTAATTAGAAACACCAATTAATCGAATAGTTTGCCTGATTTGACACTAAAAAATAAGGAAACTCATCTTTAACAGGATTGAGAAAACAAGTAATAAAATATTCAACAGTAAAAAGACTTTGTAAAATTGTCAAGAAGATCTTTGGAAACAGTTGTTAAATTTCATTCTTGATAAAAAATTCTAAATCTAAAATAAAAGAGTAAATTAAGCTAAGTCATTGAGCAGTATACACACTACCCGAAGCTATGATATCTAAAGGTTAGAGAGGATTTGGCCATAGAATCTTTAAAACGATAATTTTTTCATCTTTAACTTTAGACCAAAGTATGTAGATGGAATACAATTATTGCTTGAAAATGTGAACAATGTTTCATGATACAGATCAGTAATTTAGTTGATCTTGATGGAAAAGCAGATCAAGTAGAATGAGTTTTTAC